TCATCGTATCCTCAAACTGCCAGCTCTGAGTTTGGGTTCTGTGCTTTGCAAGTACATCCCAGCCATTTGAAGAGAACCCCCTCTGCTCCCAGTAAAGCCAGGATAACACAAGTTTCCTTGGATCTGATTTTGCACTGCTTGAGTAACGTGACACCTGCAAGTACTACTCATTACAGATGTAGTTGTGATCTTGTGAGGGACAAGCCTTGGCATCAGCAGGATGGATTTGGAAGGATGCAGACTATGGCAGAGAGAGACATACCTGCTTTTGTTTCTTCCAGTGAGAATTTTTTCCTTTTAAGTCTGTTCCTCCATCTTGTAGTACTTGCACAGAATGAAATGAAGTAGACTAGAAACATTTATGACTAAGTGTAACCTCAAAATGTTTTGGAATAGGAAGAATAGACTTGGGACTTACATGCCAAAAGTTCTTCATGAATGTTGGTAAGCTGCATTGTAGGGTTTTTTTTTTCCTTTAAAGTGGAAATAAAGCACTCAACAAAACCAAAAATGCATATAATCCCTTTGGTCAGAACACATTTGGTTGGAGGAGAACACAGTTTGCCAGTAAGAATGCCTACAACAATTTATTTTTTAATATAAAATTTAAGACTCTTATCCATGGATTGTGAATTTTAATTTCAAAATCAATTATGAGAGGTGTTTTATCTATCAGCTATAAGATGTATCTTAGCACCAAGATATTGTAATGAAACACTGCTTTAAGATTTAAAAATCTTTATATCACTTTATATATAAATTTTTAATTTCCTTTTGCTCATGATTGAAGGGATTTTAGTTATTTTCAAAGCATATCTTATACAGCAGAATATCTGTCTAGGTGTTTGATGATAATTAGCAAGAAAATTAGCCTGCTAGAAATATTATTCATCCAAATACCATTGAGTCCTTGGGAGATTGCAAACCCCTGTTGGAAAGTTTCTCAGAGACAGGCTTCTTGGTTGCATCAGGTCTAAATTACATGAAGTGTTGATTAAAGTCTTTCTCAATTAATTATTGCCAACCTAAAAGGCAAGCCAGACCCTTCATGTCCCATTTTAAGGGAACATCTAGGTCCAGGTTCTCAGCTCTGTTCGGGCTATTTTACTACACCACAGAAGCCTAGAGGCTTCCAACTAAGCTTAGGGTTACTATTCTACCATATCAAATACAAAAAGTAAAGAAAAGCACCCAAAATACAAGTCTGCTTGGGCCAAGGTTTAGTATATAACACCTCAATTCCTACTTGAGTAAATGAGAATCTGAAGCAACTACAATAAAGATACCATCTCTGTTATCAATATACACATCACAGGAGAGTTCAGGATTTTTTATTCATAACTTCTTTGAAGTGCCCCAAGCATACCCCCAGGGCTGCATGTGCTTCTTTAGTCCAAGCTTTTTCCTTTAATACACCTTTCCCCTTTTTTTATCCCCTCCCCTTCCCGCCATTCTACCACCTGTTGTTCATTCCCTTTGCTCACTTGCCCACCCATCATCCATGTGAAACTTTTGCTTTTAACTCTGTCATAGCATCAGGAGCCTTTTGTTTTCTTACTCCTCTGTGACGAACTGCTTATCTTTGAGTAGAAATCAATCTAGTTTTTGCTAATTTTCAAACAAAGTATAGCTGATTTTGCAGTATTTATTCTAGTAAATAATGGGTCTGCAGGACACAAAGCTGACTTTTAAACCAAAGTCAATCTCAGGATGTTAAGGAGAACAATCACCTTCTGTCTGATTGATCCTGAGTCTTAAGGGATAGACTACATCTGCTATAAGTGAGAATTATTCTCCTGCTTGGAGAAAAGCCAGAAGACTGGAAAACTAAAAAAAAAGAAAAAAGAAAACCAAAACTCATAACCAAGCATCCTTCCAAGATAGAGGCTTTGAACATAATGAAATTATTCAAACACAATGCAAGATACACATGGGTTCTTACCCCACTAATTCCAGGTGATTTCACAATTTCCGGGAAACATGGAAAAAAATGGTTTTTTCTTTCCCTACTTCTGTGGGTAAGCATTAACAAGTATTTCTTTCCCATCAAGTTACTCTAATCTGTGTAGCATTTCATCTCCTATTAGCTTGACTGCTACATGAGGGTCTGAAGTTCATACAGTGCAAACTGCGATAAACTTCTTTTGCTCTATAGGGAATGACAATAATAGGTGCTAAACTGTTGCTAAAAGCAAAGGAATTTGAGCATCTGTAGGACTTCCTTCCTTATGATTAGCATGCCTTGACATGTTCCTTATTATTACACATTTGAAAAAGAGTACACTATCCTTTTCTTTAGTAAAAAGTGGTAATGAAAAAAGCTAAATTGCTTAGGATATGAAGTTAAGCATCCAGTAGTTTAGAAATCTGCCCATCTCCATCAAACTCAGTGCAATTGAATTATATTTCAGAACTTGACATTGGTAAGCAAAATCAAAAAACAAAGTCAAAAGGCAGATTCATCAGAGTGACTTTTAGATCCAAATCATAATATTATCCATTAAAAAGGAGAAAAACTCTGACAACAGGAATAGGCATAAAAGGATAATGATTGTAAGCAGAACTGGTGACTTTTCCTAGTTCCTCAAAAGATACAACAGTGTAAATACTAGTGGTGAGGAGGGAACATTTCTTTCCTAGGACTTGTATGTTATATGTAGCATAGAAAAAATATTACTACACTCTAAAAGATATCAGGAAAGATAAAAAAAATTTAAACTCTTTAAATCAGTTGCAAAACATACCTCTAGAATGAAGTTCACTAAAGCAGTATGATTTCAGCAGAAACTAAAGAACTGATTAAAGAGATCCTCTCCCCACACAGGAAAAAGCCTTTCATCCACAGAGAAGCTGTGCCTGTTCACCTTGAGCTTCATAAGCTTTTTGAGCCTGCTAGGCACTAATTGATTTCATTGAGAGCAGGTGACTTAAATTAGCCAATTTAGCTCCAATTCATGACTAAATTTGGAAACGCCTAGCAGAGGCAGTGAGTGTGTGACTGTTTTGTATTTGTTGTAATCTCCCCCTCACCTGGGAAAGGGAGATTTAGGTTTTGTCCTGGTTGGGTTTTTGGGGTTTTTTTTGGTAATATGAGAGTCATAGAGAAGGATAAGACCCTTGTGCTTTCCCCTTGCTAGAAGGGGCCTCGTTCAGAGCATGCATGCAGTGAGTGTGTAGTGTATACCTCAGAGTATACAGCAGCTCCATATTCCTGACTCACCACCTCCAAAAGGAGTGTAGGCAGCATTGGGATAGATCCATGTGATTGTGTGAGCCAGGTGAACGCTCAACAGCTGCTTTTTGTGCATTATTCCCAAACTCTGCCCGCAGAACCCAGTGCGATAATGTGGATCACAGCATTGCTCAATGGTTGTACAGAAATGTAGCACCCATTGATTCTTCCTGCGCCTTCTTATGATCTTCATATTCATCACTCTTCAAATTACGTGACATCATTGCACCTGTTGTAACCTACTTCCCCTTTTATGTCTGTTTCCATTCCATGATCAATGTTTGAGAGCCTCTGTTTGCCTTCTTAATAACAAAATAAACCAAAGAGTGAATATTTTTTTAAGAACAGCAAGAAGATTATTTTATTTCATAGAATCATAGCATCAACTATTTTCCCATATGCTTCTTCTAATCTCATAGATTTGGCTATAGGTGCACTTGTATAATCTCTACATGGTGATATCAGAAACATCCACAGTTTTACCCTGGCTGACATCATTCTGTAATAAAAATATGTGATCTCTCAAAATTCCACATGCATATAAATGGCCCTTATAAGTGTTGATTTTAGGAAAGAGTTTCCCATGGTATTTCATATGCAAATTTCTTGAAGTCTGTGGGATATCAAAATCTCTCTGCCTCACCTTCCACCTTCCTGCTCTCCAAAGGATTGCTGCATACTAGGCAATTGAGAAGGTATTGGTAAATAATTATGAATGTCCTTTTGTGCCAGCACTTTTCCTGAATTTATTTATTTATTTGAAAAATATTACAGATACACTATCAGGGAATGACACTGTTCATCTGTTTTTGACATAAACAGAAAATGTGACTTAATGCTTTCTGATAAATTCTATAAAATTGATTTCTTGAGCAGAATAATGTGTTATCTATGGGTATTTACCCTTGAAAGTAGAGACTAAAATTCTGATTAGACATGTCTTTTCCAATATATTTCTATCAGTGCACTGATTTGGCAAATATTTAGACCTAAAGGTCAGGGCTCCTCATAAGTCCCATTGATTTGAAAGTTGAATGTCTGCCCAAGATTAAACACAAATAGGAATGCTTTCCTAAATCAATTTATTTAAGTCTGTATGTAAGTGCTCTGTTGAATCACAGCCTAAAGTCAGCAACATATCAGGAAAGATAATGAGTTTGGGCCAAATATGTGTATTAACAGCCAAAACATACAATGAGACAAGGAGCATAATTATTACTTGAATTTGAACTAAGATCCCTAAATGTATAAGTTAATCAGTTCTTTAAATTTCATTTCTTTTGAAGCTCTTAGCTTAAATCTAAGTGGTGAGACAGGTGACATTTACCTCTACACACTGGGATGACCCTTCCTTTCTTCTGCTCTGTATCTGGAACTGCTTCCCAGAGAAGTCACAATATTAACAGGAAAGACAGGGCCTGCTTGAGTTTATCTTGCTAGGATGGTACAGAAGATACACCTGAACTCCAGAGCTGGGAAGGGCTCTGGACCCCACAAGCTTGAGGTTGAAATCTTTTGTTTTCTGCAGTGTCTTCAAACAGAAGTTTATTTTGAGTTTCTGTATAAAGCGAGTAGAATGTCATACTAACAAACACAGGAGATTATGAATCTGGCAGAGCACAATGTAGATCAAAATGGTTTTAATCATTACTCCCTGTTTTAATTACTACTTGACACATTATCTCTATTGTCCTTCTACAAGTCTGTCTTTTGAGTGAAATATTAAAGGCGAGTTACAGCTGAAAATATATGCAGTCTAGAAAGAAAATGGCTTTGAACTATTTGAAATGATTTATTGTCCACATTTCTTTATGAATATTTATTTGCCACAGTGAAAGCAATTCAATAAAGAGAAAACATGAGGACCAGTTAACTGAACATTTGCATACTCTAACAGTTAAAAAAAAGGGAAAGAAAAATAGTATGCTGCATTAGAATGGTGTTAATGTTTGGTTTTCCTGTTTTGTGTAGTTCATTAATATGCAAGATTCAGATCCTGAAGAGGAGATATAAATAGCCTACAAATAAGTGTCCCCAGCCTTTATATATTCCCATTCAGAAGAAAATAAACATGTTTGTAGAGGGATTTTCAAGGCCAGGGTGGAGACTATAATTTTGTTTCCATACTACTTCAGGTAGCTGGTTGCAAATCTTCCTTTTTGCAACAATCATATGTAATCGGGGTCCTCATCTTGTTAGGACCAGAGGTGCCTCATTCCCTGGCACTCCTCAGAGCAGCAGCTGGCTATCAAAACGAGACATGAGCACACTGATTATTGTACTGTTTAAGCATGGCTTTGTGCACCAAAACCAAGACCACACACAGTGATGCTTCTTGTCTTCGATCCTCAGTGGAGGAACAGAGTTTTTCATGGTATGCGCTCTCATTTCTTCCTGCTTGAATTAATTTCATCAACCAAAATTCTCTATGTGTTAGACTTGGAATGAACTTTGTTCCTCGGAGCTTCTTAGTGATATTCTGATACCCAGTCACAGATGGGGCCTTGACAGATTTTGTACTGATTTTCATGATTCCTTTTCTCTTCTTCTTCATCTTTTTTTTACTTTTTTTTTTTTTTTTTTTTTTTTTAACCAGAACTGTTTCTGCTAGAGAATTCACATGCAAATGGAGATGTTGACTGGCACTTTTTCACAAGAAAGCTTGTTTTGTTGGTTTTCAGAACTGATAAACTGAGTAGTATATCAAAGAGTATTTTGAAAAGGAGAATCTTAATATATAATAGTTCTTGAGGAGGATGGTTACAGTAGTAAAACACAGAAAAATGTATTCTGTATTTTGGACAAATACAGAATTCTCTAGGCATCAATATTCCATTCTTCTAAGCAAGAATGATACTATTTATTTATAATAATAATTATCATTATTATCTCCCTGAAAGCTAGCTGTGAGGCTAAATCATTACTATTTTCAAATTATTTCATAGTCCTTAACTAGAATTTGCCCTGAGAGTACTAAATATAATAATTTTCTCTGTATGCCCTATTTAATTTTCCTTTGGAAAAAAACCACATTTAACGTGTTGTTCTCTTTACATTTGTCTACGTAAAACATTTTAAAATTCCAGCTGTTGAGCTTTTCTGGAAGTTAATAACAGGAAAGTCTGACATTATTGTATTTATTGCTTATTTCTTGCTTTTTTGTCATAGTCTTTTACCCCCACATAGATATCTCAATATCATTATCATCTGGGAGCTTGTTACTGCATGCACAAATAGAGAAATTGAGACCTGCACTTGCTGTTTATTTCCTTGCTTGAATTTGGAATTGACAAGTAACCACACCTTGTTTCTCTAAAGTCAGAGCTCTCTATATATCCATATATATTTGTAGGTATCTCAAATATAAATCTTTTCTTTCTTTCTTCTGCAGTTTACCAGGTTCTGCATTTATTGGCAAGTGTGTATCAGTTACTCACAACTGAAGATACCCAGATCCATTTCCTCTAGTTGTTATCTGTTGGATAGCTAGATTCTAATGTCTGAAATCTACATCAACCAACATAAAAGCCACAGGATATGACACTGGTATCTTGTGGTTCCAATCAGCCTCCTGGTATTATAGTAGTACTTTTATTTAACTGTGTTTCTCCTGAGTTCAGCATGCTCAGCCACACTGGCTGTTTTGCATAGCATCTGCACTGTACATTGTGATAATTGAAAACTCAATACAGCCCGGAGGCACACCAACAGGACAGCACAACAGCACAGGAGCAGGCTGGGGCATAACTCAGAAGAATAAGGCAGACAGGCAGCAGCAAGCAGGGCTGAGCCAGCCCCAACACATCTCCAGCAGCAGCGGAGCTGGGTCAGGCATCCAGCAGCTGGGGGTCCCATGGCATGTGGCAGCTCTGGGAGCAGCCAATGCCCAGTGCAGTGCGTGGATGTCCCTCCATCTGCCATCGTGGGGCTGTCATCTGGGAGCACAGACCGCAGGCAGAGTCCGAGGCTCACCTGGAAAATTACAGGGACAGATCAAATCCACATTCATGGCCATGCACTCCACTGACAGCTCCCATACTGCACATGCCTTTCCCAGGGTGGTTCCTATTCCAAAAATGTCATCTAGGCATTAGCAGAGAATAGGTGAGATATTTTTTCTAGTGTTTCAGAAGTGTAACATAGATCAAAAAATGTCACTTTCTATTTGAATGCTCATAATTAGAATTAAAGCAAATGACTTAAAATAAATGACTGGAGTAAGCCACAGCATTTCTTCCTATTAGCCTATGTAGAAAGAAAAAAATATGCCTGGAGTGTAAAAAGAAGAAAAGAAGAAATAATGAAAAAACAACATGTGGCATGAAGAAGATAAATATTTCTTGCCTGTTGTCTTGGCTCTGTCTATGAAGATTTTGTCCAACAACCTCAGCCAAAACTATTTAGTGAGTGATTTTGTGTCTGGCTGATGGAAGGCCCAGTTGTCTCAGGGCAGCTTTGCAGGGTTTCCAGGAAGCAGACAAGTAGGTCTCTGCAGTGGGAGTCACGAGCTTTTCGTGTCAGTAGCACAGCTGAGCGGATGGGAGGGTTTGAAGGAGTGGCCCTACCTTGTAGCAGCACCCCCAGAAAGTTGCTGATGTTTGAATCTCTCCATAGACTGAAGATCAACAGCTTTCCATGAGTCATTTGGCGAGGAAGGAAGGAAGGTGGACTAGTCCAGGAAACTTAGGCTGTAGGACTGTAAAATTGAGAGAGGCTGAAACATTCCACCCATTGGGGTTCTCCCTTGAAAGTATATTTGTATAAGGAATTAAACCACCCAGTATGTCTTTATAAACACAAAACCACCCTGAGGAGCAGATCACACTGGTTCCTGTCCTCACTGGCATTCTGGCCTTGCTCTCCATTCTGCCAGCCCCAGCAGTTCAGCTCCCAGCCCCTGCCCAAAGCCAGGGAAATGCCCTGCCCAGCCCCTGCAGGACACCCCACACCACGTCACAGGGCTTCACCCACCACGGGCTCTGTGCCACCTCTTGTCCCCAAGCTCTGTCCTGCAAACGCCAGTGCCTCTGTGCCAGCTGTAGGCACAGCTACAGTGGATAGGAGAGGGAATCTGGGTATGTGTTCATATTTTCATCTCCAAAATTTCTGCTTGAAGTGCAGCCTTTTAGGGCTCTATTAGATCTCTGCATTAGGGGTGTGATTATGTATATTTCCTGCTCAAGCCATAGTGTTAGTTAATCATTATTTCTGAAGTTCTTTTAAATTCTCTGGCAGTGGCATCTATTATTTTCCTCTGACTCTTCTCTTACCTTTTTCTTCTTCTATTTAGTATAAGGAGTCATCAGTGGTGAACTGATTATAAGAAATTAATTTACATCATCAGTTCAGTAGTAGGACATATGTCTTAAATCATCTAAGATAAATACTTTTAATTAAGCAAATGTCCTACTCAATTCACTGTGGACAATCCCATCATAATGGATATTACTTCTGCATGCTAAATCTTAATCTTCATCAATATGGAATGCACAACACAAAACCATTATAAAAAAGTAGGCTTACTGTAATATTGCCATTTTGAAGCTGCCAGCTTTTATAGTCATTAATATGATGACAACAGACTCACAGCTAACAAATTTTACTACAGATCTAATTTTTATCAGATATGTATATGAAATCAAATCTATGCTAGCCTATTATTTGCTGTTTTTATTAAAAAGTTAAATTTGGATTATTATAAACTCTCTTCAGATTCCTTAATAAAAAAAAATTAATGTTAAAATTGAATGAGATTTACTGGAAGCATTTTAAAAGGCTGCAACAGCAGTAAAGTCAGCAGGCACCACACAGCATAAGAAAGTATTTACCGACCAGAAGATGAATGTCTCTTCACCGAGAGCCTAATGGGTTTACTTTATATGGATTTTTGAGAGACAGAGATAGGAGAAAGCTAGAAAATCTCCAAGCCAATGCTTTCCTAATCGAAGATATTCCTGATCAAAGCTTTCAAATTCTGAAGTAAACTGACTTCTTACTCTTGTGACCAAAATCTCCTGTCTTTTTCCCCCTCCCTCCATCTGTTCAAGCTTGAATTTGGAAGTCCCTTCTCCAAAGGAAGAAAGCCTGATCCCTATTGCTTCAGTTGTGGTGTTGAAACCCATTAATATTTCCCTGGCAGGTACCCTGACCCTGGTGCCCTTGACATGCTCAAAAAAAAAAAAACCATAGGGTATCCCTAAGCCTTTGTCCCTGAGAGGATTAACAGGATTGCCCTGGAGCCAGCCTGAAGGTGTTTTAATAGGTAATAGGGGTGGGCTTCACAGCTGACTTCAAGCTTTGCCTCAGGCTGCGCCTGTTCAGACACAGATGCAGCCACTGAAATTAGGGTGTAAAGCATGTCTCTGTGTATGAGTGTGAACCCTCAGAATGTGGTGGAGGATATCTCCAAATATATCCTTCACCCACCAGGACAGGCATCCCAATGGAGAGTACAGGGACTGGAGATCTGTGTTGCTTCTGCCACTGACTTCTCTGACCTAGAGAGTTAATTACTTAAGCTGTCTCTCCCTCTCTCTTTCTTTCCTCTCTGTCCTCTCTTGTGGCTTATACATTGTCTGAAGGAGAAACTGCAGCACTCTGTGTGGTTTTGCTGTGCCTAGCCAAGTAGGTCCCAGTCTCAGTTGAGTCCAGTTGCTATATCATGGTAAAAGTAAATAAATAGATAATAGTGGTAACAACGTTATGTTTGTGTGTGTGAACAATAGCATCCTAATGGATGAATTTTTTTATCTGCAAGTTAAGGTCTCTCTTTCCTCACTCAGCTGGAGAAGATACTGCTTTTGTAAATCAGACAAAACTTATCATGTAAAGTGGAACACATCTTTGATTATACTGAATACTACCCTGTCTGCAATTTACCCTTGTTGCTACAAAGGACACAATATGATTAAGCTAAGAAATGATAGACTGAACATTATGTGTCAGGATGGTAAAAGATTTTTCCTATCTAAATAGGAAACTATCATAAAAAACAGTGCAAATACACAAGAAAGTATTTTAACATATTATAAACAAGCCACCCCATTGTTGCCTTATATTGTATTGCTGTTTATTGTATTCCTTGCTCAGATTGCTGCAGATACTTCTCCTGTAGTCTACAATATTTATTTTTTTTTTAATTATGAACTGTCATGATGTTTTAATGATGTGAGTGTCCTTCCCCCATAAGTTGGTATGTACTGTTACCTGCTCAGTCTGTCACCTCTTCTGCGTTGCCCTGGGTGAGTCCAGATCCTCCCAGTGACATTTCTCAAATTGTACATCTGTGCAGTGCATTTTCCCAGAGCTGTTAAAAGCATTTCTACTTCACTTAATGACAGTGTTCAGCAATACCAGCCATCACTCACTATTTGGTATACACCAGGTACCCTGCACAGGGGCAGAGGGGGCACTATCCCAATTTTACAGACCAGAGAAACAAGGTGTTGCATTTGGCAGCAATTAGCCCAGAACATGCTGCAGAACACGCAAATGGGAGAAGGACCAACACACCTTCAGCTCACATTTTATTCTTTAGTGTGTTACTGCTTTTGTTTCCTCCAATATTCCCAGTTGCACTGTGCCCTCCTAACAGAATTTCAGAGAATGATCACAGTACAGCCAAGTGCTTTTGAAATAACACATTCAGATACTGCATCAATGAATGTGTGGAACTTCCCTAATTTTGAAGTGTGACTTTGCCATGTATGGTGTGTAGTGACTTCTACCATGTTTCTGATGATTTCTGGGTCTGCTGCTATGATTCATTTCTAGCCAAATTAGCATGTGATATTTTGTGCTTGTACTCCAGTGGTAAGGTCTGTTTGCTGTTTCCATATAGATGTATTTTTTACAGGAAGAGCAATTCTATGAGCCCAGGATGAAAAGCCCATCCATTGAATTGGTACCACATTACCATGGCAACAATATAATGCTAATTAAATTGTGACTGTTGAACCTGTTTTATGGAACTCTACAAAATGGGCTTCATAAAAGGAGAAATCTTGTTGATTAGTAAACGTTTCAAAATGTGATGAAAACCTAAGAAACACATGTGTTGTGATTTATTAATCATGTTATCAACCTCATTTAAGATAATACATTGCTCTTTGTATGAGGAATAGTGCTCTCAAAAAATAAAATTATATGGTAAATCTGTTTCTCCAGGTTTTAACATGCACCACTCGCTCACCTTTGTGCCCTTGCTCCCTGGTTCAGATGGCCCAGGCATGTATTGAGTCATGCAGTTTTTGCTGCTTATTTGATCTCTCTCAGAATCTGTAATATACTGCAGTTGCAATAAACACCTTTCTGTAAGAAAAGTGTGGCTTAGTTTATATAAATTATTCCACAAAAACATATCCTTTTAGATTGAACCCTACACAGAGAAGGGGTGGTAGTAGGAATGCACTCTTCACTTCCCACCTCCCTTCTTTTGGCCCATTTGGCAGTTTATGGCATGTAGACTCCCAACACAGAGGAAAGAGCCACCCCAGATCCCATTCCTCAGGATAGCAGCTCCTGCTGAAGGCAGCATTAGATATTGTGCCTACTTTTAAATAGAAAAATGCTCAGCACTCAAATTTCCTGGTCATTTATATCTCTGGACAGGCTTCTGGGGAGGTGCCTCACCTCTAAGTGTCTGAAGCCTCCATGTCAAGGTTTCCACAGCAAGGATTTAATTTTTACATTGATTATAGTAGATAATAGGTAATACTCCTCTTTGTTTTCACCTTGGGAATAACAGTGTATCTCACCCTATGGAGTTCATCTCCTAATTTGCCAGGTAAATCAGAAGAGAAAAGCAGGTGTGCCAGCAAGCATTGAGCTCAGCGTGCACTCACTGTGTGGTCTTATCTAGGTATTTAGTAGAGACAACAGGGGGAACACAGCTCACTTTAGTGAAGTCCTGATCTTCATGGCACAGGAGTCAGCAGAAATCTTCACAAACATTAGATTTAATGGGATTTACATCAGGGCTTTAAAGGGCTGTTTCCGAAAGCTCCATGTTTGATCCTATTTGGAAAAGGAAGCTCTGACTAAAATTTCATTATTTCCATGGTTTTTGGGAAAGCAACACACCAAATTTCTGAGTTGATAAAAATATAATGTAATGCAATTTCCCTTAATATATATTTTGCACTGGCTGACAGTTTTATTAAGCAGAAGCAATAATCATCATTATTCAGTGTAATAACCATCTCATTAAAAATGGTCTAATTTTCCCTAATTTTAATTTACCTCTCAGACTAAGCTGTTCTAAAATTACTGAGGTGCCTACAGTTCAGTTTCATAAGACTTCAGCAGAAACGTAAATCTTCAGAAAGCAAATACTGACTTATTGCTACTAAAACAGTGATACGCCAGAGCTTTGTGAGAGAAATGGAAGTACAGAAAATTCAGGTTAGGAAATTGCTATATCACTTTTTATTTCCTTATTGTATTGTAAGTAGCACTTTCTGCACGCATTTTGCACAAAGATAAATTGCACAGTTGCCTTCAAGCCTTGCATGCACTACCCTTTAATAAAGGACCTGGCTCAGGGTCACACCAGAGTCCTGGTAAGGGGGAGCTGACAAGCAGAAATATTTCTTGGAGGGACAGAGAAGGATATGAAGACACTGATCAAGTTTCATTATCATCCAATGAAAATAGGATGTAAACTGTGACATCCAGGCAGATTATATATGTCAGGCAAGCAGATGTGAGCAGAAAAATGTAGATGCTAAACCTTACCTAATAGGCTTACTCTGTGGATTATTCTCAATGAGCAAGGCTATAAAGTGTGGCCTTGTATGTAGCTATAGTTAATATAGAGGATATAAGAAACATGCATTCATAAGTGAATCTGGGGACATTCCCAGCTGTGCTGAAGTTAATGCTCTTTGATATACTTTGGAACATCCTAAAAGCACTTTGAGTGTCATATATTTCCACAGACATCATAAACAGCATTAGGGCATTTATATAGCTTTAGTTCCAAGATTTCAAAGGGCACTCTGTTTTCTCTAAAAATGTGCTCCAAAAATTCTATACTCAAACAGCACTTGTGCATGCAAACTGATATAGCAGCTTAGCTACTTGATTTGGTTATGCCAGTTCTGAAAACACATTTGATCAAAAGCATTTTGTTGCAATCACAGGGATAAGTAACCTCATATGAACAAGGAAGCACTTTGCAGGTTATATTATAAAATAGACAAATTGTCTAAAAGTTTGTTTATCATCAGATGTTATTCTGTGTAGTTCCAAGTCATAAAAAATAATTTTTGTTTGCTGGGGGTTTTCTAATGTTCCACTAAAATAACACAGAAAAGGCAGTCTCTTATGTGGAAGGACTCTACTTATGAAATCTCTTCTCTTTGAAATTCAGAGCCTTTTCCAGCTGTAGTATTCTTTGCTCAGCTATAAGAACACAAAGTACAGCAGTGAAAAGCATTACACTATTATCCCAAGATAATTTGATAGTCTGTAAATGTATTTTCCTGCCTGTGGTTCCAGACATTATGCTCTCATTTGGAGTAATGATTTGCAGTTATTTATACAATTCAAGTTAGCCCACACTGGTTTCACCCTGAACATTTTACCTGCATGGTACAAACATGGCTTATTTGTAGGTTGTACAAGCTAGACTAGATGGGTGATTTTGGCAAGCCCCACTCCATCAGCAGTGCAGTGGATGCACTGCAGACAGGCAGCTCCTGCAGGAAGTGCTGCAGTGACTCACCGGTGCTGTCTCCTGCCCACAGCAGTGGTACCACAACCATTCATCTGCAGGAGTCTGCTGGACATGTGCAATTCTAAGTTCTGACATAAAACCATAGCTCTGATCTGATGTGGTCAAGAAAATACAGCACGGCACCTTCCAGAAGTACTTACCCTGCTTTTTTCCTTTGGCTTCTGTGTGGGATGTGAAAATTCACCTTAGTTCCTCTTGCATTTCTGGAGTTTACCATACCATTCCCCCCAAAGCTGGAGACGAGTGGTCCAGTTGTTTCACCCCCGACGCACCCACATTTCAGCATTACACAGTTTGTAGAATTTGCAGTGTTAGTGAGTGTGGACACAAGGCTTTGGTTTTGCATGGGCTCAGAGCTCCCCTCCCTCACTCTCACTTGGGAGCCTGTGTTGGGAACAGCCCAACCTAAGTGACAGTAATTTACTGCTGGCTTGTAAGCGGTCAGCAATGGATCTGCACTTGTGGTGCTGGCAAGAACAAAGTCTCATTTGAATCCCTGGTGATCCTCCTCTGGGAGCCTGGGCTAAATCAGAGGAGTCATGCACTGGTAACATCCACTGAGCTGCCTGCTCTCTCTGGGCATCAAAAGACATAAAATATGATTCCTATTGTCTTTTTTCTCTGTCATACATTCCTGACTATCACCCCAGTTCATATCTGATATTGGGAAAAAATATTAGTGTCAAGGGAGTGAATTCCAGAAAGGTGCAGTTCTGATTTGGGGTGGTCAGCAGCCAGGCCAGGAACTTCCACCTCTGCCTCCCTCCTTATCTTACCCTCAGCTGGAATGGCCCCAGAGGGTGTCTGAATGAAATGTGAAAGTTACCGTTCAAATAAAGGAGAGGGGACAGTAAATATTCAGAAATTATTGTGTCTCTCCTCTCTCATCTGTTCATGGTATCTTGGATACTGTTGTGATAATTCAGTCAGTTTCTTAAAAAAAAAAAATTAAAAACTCCAAACAAATATTTAAAATACTACTTCTGTTTTGCTGAAAATCATTAAAGTCTTTTATTTTGAAAGAAAAATTAATATCAACATGTCTTTCTAGGACAGTGTCATTTAAGAACAGCAGCACTTTAAAAAGCGCAAGAATCCCAGTTTCCCATCCTGATGTCAGTTTATGATAACATTTATGACATAATATAATGGATTATGACCTTTCTTGGCTTGTCTGACTGACAGTTATTAATATATAACACAGTACTTATCACCCTGGTCCTTCCATAATAATAATCCCTTCCATTTTCTGAGCTGTGCCATCAAAACATGTCGTCATAAGTGTTGATCTCATCTCTGGGAGAGTAGCACTAGGAACTCCTTTTGAGCTTTATGTTACCTAAAATCTAGAATGAAATTGAAGACCAATTGCAGAAAAATACCCTACCTCTAACTTTATCACACAGTCTGCATAATGGCCCTTGTGATTTTAAATAATTTACTGAGTCCTGTCAAAATGCTGTGCCTTTGTGTGGTGGAAGTTACTGAAGTTCAGAAATGCCACTATTCTGTACAACAGGAGTGATCTTGAGGAAATACACAATAGATAGTGTTCTACAATTACTTACCTCGACCCTCCTATTTTTTTTCCTTTAATCTCCTCAGGATAGACAGAATAAAATATATTTTCTTCAATACTTAAGAGTGAAAATTTGCTGTGCAATTTGCACCTGCTTTCCTCATGCCCATTTTTACTAAACAGGGAGTCAAGATACTCTTTTTAGATTAGAAGTTTCACATGAATCATATGTAAAAAGTAAAAGAGGAAAGTGAAATTTTTTTGTATGCTTCCAAGGATTGACCACTTAGCAAATGCTAATGAAGTTTGTGTGGATAAGGGGTCACTCGGAAATCCTGGATTAGACACCAAGGCCTGTCACAACCCTGCTCTATAGCTGTGTTCCTTCCCTGTCTGCACTGGGCTTCCCAGTCTGCTCGCTGGGCACCAAGACATTCCCTACCTGAGCATGGCAGTCAGGCTGTGGCAAGCAGCCTCATGGTCAGGTCTGATACAATAAGCTGATCATCCAACTCTATCCAAACAAACCTGGAATTGTGTGAAACACCTCACACCAGCAAAGCAGGTGAGAGCAGGAGCTTCCCGTGCACAGAAACGACTCCTGAAATGTGGCAGACTGTGAGTGCAGCCACAATAGCATGTGGTCTTTACATAGTACAGACCTTCTCATGCATGTAAGGATCCTTCAAACAAGAAATATTTAAAAGAAACATTATGTCTTTAAGCTGGCTGAACAATTCCATATAGCTCAGAGCCACACAGAGATAGGGCATTGCCATTCACAACGGGGCTCTGCTTGCACAGCCAGGCAGGCCTGCCTCTCCCGGGGGGGCTGAGGCTGGCCAGGGTCAGCCCTCCCTGCTTCCCTGGGGCTAAGCACCACTGCCATCCTGGCACTAACATCCCATCTGCAGGAATGTCAAGTTCAACAAGCTTATAGCACTGCAAGGCAGCCCTGGCACACATCTGTGACTACACTGATGCCTCTGTCTTCTCCCCAGTATTTTGTCAAGAATGTGACATGCTAACTTTTTTTGTTCCTAATTATTATTTTTTAAAATAAACCAGCACCATGACAAGGCAGCTGCATGCAAGGCAGGAGTAATGCTGTTCTGTGGGTAGAACAGAGGGGCTGTGGTGCTCAGCTGTCACCATCTGAAGCTGCCTTCAACATTCTGAATGAAAATGGTTTGTCAGCAACATCCTGGGCTGGCTTTTCAGGCTAGGTTCTGTTGTGCAGCCATTTCTATCCCTGGGCCTGGTGATTAGTTTTATTCAGCTGAGACACAAGTACTTGGACATTTGTCACTGTTTCTTTGAACATGTGTCCGTGTTTTCTTGGGCTATCAAATGGGACATATGGGAGCTGGATTTCCATCTTTCATTAGATCTTGGAAATTGTGTCCTCCTGAGGCAATTAATTAGCATGATGTTCTTGGCTGCTAATGTTTGATTTCAGATTTCAGTGGCAACAGACTTGGCAACACAGATTTTATGAGAATGGTCTAATGGTTTAGGTTATTAGCTGTGGCCTCCACACAGCTTTCTTCAACTCCTCAGCTTCTGCAGAGTTCCCTTAGGTGTGCAGACAAGTCCCGTGGTTTCTGTCCATGTCTTAGCTCTCTCTCTCTTAAAATTAAATATAACAGCACTTTCCTGCTTCACAAGACAAGTGCAGGACAGATTGCACCTCAGCAGAGGCCAGGCAGCACCGCTGCAATCCTCTGCCACCCCAGCTCCATGACGGAGAAGCTGTTCTGCAAAGCTTTTCTTTGATCCTTCCACAGTTTAAGGCAAAATAACTTACAGTAGAAATTTGTTGAATGAACACATTTCTATTTTTTTGCTTTCAGTTTGCCCACTGTAGACACCTGCAGGATGTACACACCTTTATCTTTGAAAAGGACATCTGTGGAAAAACCCAAACTTTACCCTCTGAAATCAATGTGATATACAGCAAAACCACACACTTCTCACCTATGAATACAATCCAGAGATATAGTCTAGACTGTTTGTTTTGGTTTTATTACCTCACTTATATTCATAATCTTATATAATTATAACAATTCATGGCTAGAAAACAGCGTTAGTTACAACTCAGAAAAATCTTATGCCTCTCTCAAAGGGAGACTCAGGCAAAATACAAAATATATATCAAGTACAGTTATGCAGTAGATAACACATCCTCCATGAGGAAGAACACATCCTTTTCTTTAGTATCCTCTACACAATAGCAGAGGGCTGAATCTTCCAGGGCAATGGAGAGGACGAACCTACTTCAGAACACCAAAATGCAAGTGACATTTTATAGATGCATTTGTTAGTACTGTGTGTGTAGGAGCTTACTCAAGTGGTCATTACTGTATGTGATTTGAACTTACAAAAGGCATTTCACAAATCTGTTTGAAACAGATGTGCTTCTACCCTGCATTTAAAATAAAATTAGTCCATGGTCTCAATTTAGGTAACCTTTGCAGTCACTAATATACAATCACATATACAACCACATAGTTTTTAAGCATGTATGAAAGGCATTAGACAGAAGAAAAGAAGATAAGAAGAATATATCACTAAACAGTATCTGCAATGTTGGATATTCCTTCCAGATAGCTCATTCACATTCAAACAGAATGAGAAAATGCAAAACATCAAATGCAGTATTGCCTGTTTTCACTTGATGCAGCTAGGAGCTCTAATGCAAACACTCTGAGATTGAACTTTGTTTCCGTACCTGCCAGACAAACTTTCATTAATTAAAACCAACAAAAATACAAGCTGAATAACTGAAGTTGATTTTATCTTATTATCCAATTTACTCATGTCATACTTATTTAAACTTTTTGCTACTACCCTTATTATCCCATGCAATCTTATTGCAGTGCTTTTTCAGAATTCCTTATTCCTCCCACCAATTCAAGATCCATTTCCACACACCCGGCATTCACCTCCAATGCTCTGATTTCAAGCCGTGTCTTTTACAGACCACCAGGAAGGAATTTGCAGAACACTGGCTGAAAGACACTTACTGTGCAGCTAATAAGGAAGGTTGAAATACCATTAAAATTCTGACTTGTGCTTTAAAATGCCATGAAATTCTGAATTATGGCTCTGCCTTGAATCCCCGGTTGCACAATTGCACTGAAGCACTGCCGAGCTGCCGTGCGATCGCGGGCTGCCTGCAGCAGCTGAACCTCACAGGCACTTCGGACCACTACAGCTTTTTGCTCGGGCTCATGATGGCTTTCCCGGGAGCTGATCACCATTAAGGCTACAGAAAAAAGCACCAAGCTAAAAGTTTAAGCCCTGAATTACTCTGATAGTTTTACTTCAGCCTCTCACATGCTGCTGTCTTTGAAGCCATAGGACCTCCCTCCCCATTCAAATATTTAGTTTTGGCCTCAAAGTTACACTTGCCCTGAAATTATTATCAGAGGACAATGGTAAAGTAAAATGCCTAAAAAGTGAATATTTTATCAATCAATTTCAAAAACTGAGGAGAAAACATATATAATATTTCATACTCTTATTTCAAATCACTGATTTGAAAGCATTTGGTGAGTGGGTATCAATATGATGGGACCAAGAATTTCACTTGACACATGGTTGGTGTGGTGGAACCTTAAGATCTGCTGTATGGATGGGAGTATAAGTTTGAAAATTAGGATCCAAAGAAGAAAAATCGTTGAGAAAAATCCTTATGATTAAAAATTGAAGAACATTGATCTACATTATTGACTGACAATTGTAAATCTTTCATTTAACAGGAGAGCTGCTTTCTAATTTTTACACAAAAATCTTCAAAACCATTGGCTCTTCTGTATGGGTTTTAAAAATATATTTAACTGGATATGACATAAATATTTTTGCATGTTGATTATGGGGCTAAACTAAGCAATACCAGCATAAGAAAAAAAAAAAGCCATCTATTACAGTGGAATTGCTTACAGAGCCAACAGCCAGCCTGAAGGGAGCTGCCCTTATGACAAATGTCCATGCATGATGCAAACCTCCTTTTTGGTGTGGTGTAGTAATTTCCATTGCAAGTGGGTATTACATTTTTAATTGATTCCTAGCAGCAAAGTCTGTTACGTGTCCATTTCACAAGGTTATTGACTTTTGACATATCTTGTTAGATGTTATGATGAGACAGAGTTTTTTTTTTGCACAGATTGATGTCTATTGATATTACATTAGTTCATCAAGGTTACAAATCACACTGCATTGCACTACATTTCACATTTTCTGTATCATCACAAGAGGTTTATAATATTCACTTTGGGACATATAAAGTGCTTTCCACCCATCCCTTGGATAAATAATTTAAGAAATTGTTAGGAAATCATACCTAATTAGTAGGATCTGCACTCAATAAGTGCCTTTTGATTTAAATTGTATTTGTATTTTGATAGCTATTGATTTTAGAAGTAGGAGAAATGAATAATACATTTTGCATTTCTCCACTGTTCACAGCAATAATCTGATAGAAATAATGGAGGAACACTGCTGGAGGCGGCCCCTTTGGGGACCTGCATGCCTTTCCCTAGAAAGCCCATGGGACAGCTAAAGGCACTCCTGTGTGGAATGGCCTGATCCCCTTTTCTCCCATTGATCTGCTGCATAATCCTGGACAAATCACTCAGCCTCTCAAAGCCTCTCCTTTTCCATCAGCAGAATGGAAACAGAATGGTTCCTCATCAGCTCTCAGATGACCACAAGACATATGGAGAAAAGCAACAGACACATCCAAGCAGGTATTACACACATCCTAACTGGCACTGCCACGTGGAGCACGGAGCCAGCAAGTGAGGCTTCCTGTGGGTACAGGAGAGTCTGGATCCCCATAGCAGGACCCATGGTGTCCCTGTGGGCCTCTGAGAGAGCGTGGTGGAGCTGGGCAGCACTCAAAGAACACACCCTGCCAGCCTCCTTCTGCACTCAGTTCTGCCAGCAGGAACCTTCTGGTCGGTTTAGCTACTCGCTTTCCTGGGTGAATTGATACAAGACTAATTTGTTTTTCTTTGGATGCTAATCCCTCAGAGTGAGAAGAGGGAACAAGGTGAAGCAGTACCATGCAGATAAGCTGGGTAACAGGCTGGTATCTTCCCGAGGCAGTGCAGCTCGGCGTGCAGGTAGGGAAGGCTGCTTGCATGAATGGCCAGGGGTGAGGAACACAGACAGACAAAAACATCTCTGAGGCTGAAAACAAATCAGAATATATAGGTATTTACAAACACTGATTTCCAACACCCCAGCAGCTGTAACAAATGCAGACTTTATGAGATAACCATAATTATAGAAAAGCTTTATTTTTGGTTTGGTTTTTTTTTTTTTTCCACCCAGTATGCCAGCTCTGATTTGAAAGGAAAACCATAGGCTCAACTGTGCAACACAATAAACCATGGCATCAAAGCAAGCATCAAAGTGGCCCCTTGGCTGCTGGCAAACAGTACAGTCATAAGAAAAGAGACAATGAAAATACAATAAGTAGAAATAGCGCTTTTTTCCCATAACATAAACACCATAGACATTCTTTTAATACAAAGAGAAGCAGGATCCAATGTGACAGCTTTATATTTGCCAAGTACCATGGGAGGACTGTTAAATACATCCTCCCCAAACCAAGCCAAAGGAGCAGAACGAGCCAAGATGTTCTCGTCAGAACAAAGACATCCCTTTTCTTAGGTCTCAGACATTTAGGAGGATTAATTTTGCTTTTTATTTATTTTAATAATCTCCATCTCAAGCTAGCTTCAGCAAGATGTGCCAAAATATCTATTAGTGCCTGTCTATATAGGTACAGTCCACTGCACCAAAATCACTTTATGGTCTTCAAATAATGGAAATTATATTTAAGATCTTTTTTTTTGAATATATAACTTAAAAAAAATTCTCAAGTAGACAACTGAGAGCTAGGACTGTGCAACGCTGAAGCAGAAGGGCTGCTATCACATGGAAGAGCAGACGACTCATACGTGTTTGAATCCTCAGCCTCTCGCAGGGGGAGATCTAAATAATGCGTAGTGGATTTCTTTGTGTGATGCTTTTCCTTTTCTCTTTTTTCAGTTAATATTTTACATTCTTTTAGAAGTATTACCGGTATATTAAGCCCTATATTCATATAATCATGAGGGACATGCAACTTTTCTGTCTTGCCCTTCTACTTTCAAGCAAATGTACAGAAATTGAGGCTTGACAACCCACAGCTGAGGTGCTCAGGAGCAAACACCTGAAAGCATAAGAATGGGGCTGCTCAAATACATTTTTACCCTTCTCTCGTTAAAGTTTCATCTGAAGAATTTTTGTGGGAGCCTTAGCCAGTAAAACAGCACCCATCACTTTTAGGTTCCCAAGCAGCAGGGGCACAGGGGAAAACAAGTATCAGATACACACAATCTTTCCTCTTATGCCTGCTATGCCCTCCCAGATGCAGTAATTCACCCTCTCATATATTTTTGTAAAAGAAAAGTGATACTAATTATCCTGAAGTATTTTTAAAGAAGATGAATATTGGAGAAGTTCTCACTTATTTCACAAGACATTCTGCTTTCCATGTAAAATTTAATGATTTTCCATGTAAAATTAATGATTGTAATAAGTTTCATTTTAAGACAGGTCCCTCCTGGGCAACCTCTCTAGTAAAGTCTGATTCCAGGTGAAACCAACAAGAGAACCATATTTGCTTTTATGTATGCTGAAATGGTCCATGAATCTCAAATAGTATTGCACCCTCTGTTTTATAAATATTTTATGTGTTTTTCTTCAGTAAATACATATATTTTGCTTTTTGAATCTCAGGGCCCCCTTTGAGCTGTGTGGCTCTTAGAATGTTAATAGAGTAGTAGCAACATGAAACTGAAAATAAATGCTTTTAACAAACAGGGAAAGTCTATATTTCATCAAGGAAAGTGTAGTTTAAAATAAAACAGACTCCTGCAATGTCTAAATCCTGCATATTTTCTGCAGAGTATGCCACAGCTATTGACATGCTGTTGGTTTTATATGTCCCAGGATGCATGAATTATTACTGTCATTTGACATTTTATATTCCTAGTTCCATAGCCTATAGCAACACTTACCGTCAGCTGTGGTAGACTATAGCAGACCTCTGGCAATGCCTCTTATTGATCAAGTACTGCTCACTGTTTGCCTGCTCAGTAATGCAAAGACATCCTAATTCTCTAAGACAGAAAACCCACAAGTTACTGCATTTGGGATTTCTCGTCCTTTCAAGATACCCGAGACACAAAACACAGATTACAGATACCTTCTCCCCCACTGGGAGGCAAACTGAGTTATCTCACAAGCTTTAGGTACTACAAAAGAAGGCACATTGCGTGGCAATACTGAAGAGAAAAGCAGGATGCTAACAAATGGTGCTAATATAACTGGTTATGAAAGGGACCTCAGGAATGAGAGAGGTGTTCTGCTGAGAGTCAATGGAGTTGTGCTGCCAGCTTTATTAACTTCTTTAAAAAGAACCTATACAAAGTACTACAGTGAAAAATTATGTCAAAGGTGTTTGTGCTTATGATTTGAATAAAGAGAAATTTTCCCAGCATTTACTTAGGTGAAATTCCCCTGAGACAGCAAGAGCCAGAGCTCACCTAAATAATAAAATAGAAATTGCAGATCACAGGGCAGCAGAACATACCACAACTGACCATGTAAAGACCCAGTGAAGCACTGACTGGTTTCTGGGCCTAGCAAGCACCCCCCAACACCCTCTTGAGTCAAAGGAAAGATGACCTACCCTTGGCAGGACAAGTCCTGTCAGGTAGAGCAGCTCACCACAGCATTCAACCTCACCCCTGCCTTGAAGAGCTGGTTTATCACCTTCTCCCTTCTCCCAGTCCACACTCTTCCCCTCTCTGATACCTCTCTCCTTCCAGGGAGTAGCCATGGCTCCAGCACAGCTGCATGGATTGGGTCAGCAGGGAACAGAGGCTGTGTCCACCTGCTGCCCAAGGGCTCCTCAGTGAGTCACCTCAGTGGGAGCATGATGGCCAAGCCCTGACAGTGGCAGGCTCCATGTCTGCCCTTTCCTGCCCCAGCAAGTGCCCTGAACAGGGGCAGCTCTGAGCCACAGCTGGGACTTCTGTCAAAGCTGTGACAAAGACAAGGTACGGGACATGTTTAATTTGGCCGGCCTAAACCACCAGAGAATTTATGCAAGACCAGCTTGGCTTTTGCTGAGACTCAGAGCTGCCCTTCTTCAGGGTCAAGTCCCTGGGCAGCATCCTGGCCCTCTGCCCTGGGCCCTGCACAGGTCACGGCTCACACTCAGGACCAGCACCACACATTCCCAGGGCAAGCTGCTCACCGACCGAAACGCTCTCCTGACAGCCCATCCACGCGTGCTTGGCTAAGGAGCAGCTGTGATGTGATGCTTCTGGGGCGAGTCCATCCCAGCATCCAGTAGCACCCTATCCCAGCTGGTTGTGAATCCCCATCTGGAGAGAATGCCTGAGGGCCTTCCTTGGTTCTGGAGACCCATCAGACCCAACTCTCAGGGTGATCCAGATCTTGAATCTGCTGCAGCCCAACCCCATCAGATTGTGGCTTTGCTCTTCATTTTAGCTGCAGAGACAATGGCTGCAGCACCCTCCTGGCATGCTCTGCTGGTCCTCAGGAAAGGGCTTTTCCTGAAGCTCTTGCTTTTTGTCCCACATCTTTGAGTGTAACAGTAAGCTTGAAGCATGGCAAAGGGGTTTTCTGCTTGCATTGCACCTTTCTGTTCATTCTCTCCCACTGTCTGATCCTTCTGCTTCCCTTGCCTGTCCCACCAGTGTTATTCTGACATGAGAAGCCTCCAGCATCTTTTTTTTCCTCATTGAAGCTCTTGGAAAGTATAATCAGGTCATGAACCATTTCCTCCAAACACTGACTGCATCTGCTGCCTTAGCACAATGATGGAGTTGCTTATCCAGTCCAAGCTTGCTACAATGAAAAGTCACACTTTTTCAATTTATCCCGTGAGTTTTTATGATCACTTGAAACACAGCAGCACAGCTCTGCACCTGTAACATCTTCAGAGCCACTTAACAGCACAGCCAGAGAGCACGGTTCCAGTTGAGCTCAGCTGAACACAGAAGGTGACTTCTGATGCTGGAGCACTTCATCACTGGGGTAAGACAGGCTGGTAAGGCAGGCAGCATTTGACTTGCAAAGCCTCTTTCTTTGACATCCTAAGAGGGCAGCAGGGCTGCACGTGAGTTAAACCCTTGCCAGCAAACAAAAACATTTTGCTTTGCCAAACATTACAGTGGTGATTTTGTTCCTGTCTTTTGAAGGCATGAGATTTAATCGACAGATCCTGTCAGCCCCTCATCGAGCTTGAAGAGAGCTGATTAATGACAAAGACCAATGGCATTCACACTGTCCCACCTCCTTGAAGGCACAGTTCCTCTTTGGTTGACTTCTCCCAGGGAGAAACCAGTTTTCTGCCTCACCCTTGGAAATGATGGAAGATATAAATTCCAGGCTAAATGCTTCTCTTCTCCGCTTCATGAGGCTCAGCCCACTGGCCTCACATTCCTGTGTTCAAATCTGGCAGAGCAAACATCTGGAACATGCAAACAAACCCCCAAATTCAGACACCTGGTGATAACAAGGACAGGAAGGGTGTGTGTGCTGCAGTTCATCATCACTAGGGCGGGAAGAGCCACATCCCAAGCAGGACAATCGAAAAGACTGCTACAGGTACTGGTGGGACAGGACATCCACAGAAGTGGCACAGACTGCAGGGCCAAAAGCAGCCCTTGGTGCTTCATTGCAGTGCAATGTGTATGTAGGTATTTAGGTTCAGAAATATGCAAACACTTACACACATACTCAGCTACACATCGTATGTATGTATGGGTGTACATAAAGGTGAACATGATGGTATCCTACATTTTCAGTGCATCATGTAAAGATCACAACTCCTGTGGATAATTTATCAGCTGAAATGGGAATTTTACAGCCATCCAAATCCTTACTTTTTAATCTTTCAGTGGTTTTTTTGCAATTTGGGAAGAGTTAAATTTTGATTTATTGACATCAGTGCAATTTACTGAGTGAGAAGCACTAACTCCTACCATGGTTTTCTCTGAACCCTCATATGAAGAAACAGAATTATTCTATTTATACAAACACCAGATGTAGCAGTTTTAATAAAATCAAATGCCTTTAAATAAAATACTTCATATAATTTGATTTATTTGTAATCTTTCTCCTAAGATTAAAAATACCTACTGTCTTCCCATGATCAATAATCCAATTTTTAAGGGGCTGTTACTTTCATTATAAACATATAAAAGCAATCCAAGCTACTAAAACCCTGTATAGAGACACATTGTAAAAGCCAGACTACTTTTTACCCAGCAGGCAAAAAAAAGATACATAAACAGGTCTGAATTGTTGCAGACATAAATATTTTAGACAGAATAGAAAAACCTTTGGGAATTTGAGACTGTAATTAGGCCCCTTAGCAGACCATTCAGTAAACCACAGCCCGAAGGACCCTGTGGTGGGTCCCAGTTGTGGAGTGAGACATTGAAAGGGTGTAAAAGGCAGCACACCCACCTCACCCAGGGGCTGTTCTCCTGTCACTAAACAGGTCACAAAGTCAAGAATGGCTTCATAGGTGTGCCACAACCATTCCCTGCTCCTATGAGCAACATGGTGTGCTTCAGCTGACAGACGAAAACAGACACATTTCTCCTTTGTCTGCAGCTGGCTGAGATTTCTTCCTCTCTGTCTCCACCTCTTTCTGTCCACCTCCTTCATCCCTCATCCAAGCTCTGAAAGCTTCCAGTTATTCCAGACATTAAATCAATTTGTGTAAAACTATTACTGTTGTAGATGCTCTTTCTGTCTTCCTATTGCTCAGTAGGAAGTAGACATAGCGGTGCCACCCTAACTAAGGAAAGTTTATTTAAGAACAGCTCAAACCCACTAAAAATTAGTAGCTTGATCCAACAGACCTCTACTCAAGCCTTCAACCTCCAGCCTGGACTGATCACTGTGGTGTCCAAGAAAGTGCTCTTGGCAGACCCACACTCTCTCAGATGCATCTTTACACACATAAGTTGCATTAAATAAATCATTATCACTGCACCAAACTACCTTCTGGCCTCATCACATGTTAAAGTTTCAGGACCTGCTTGGGACTACTCTGCATTGCTGATATCTGTGAAAGTGCCATCCCCAGAGTCACCCTGAGCCAGACACTGCAGTCAGGCTCACGCAGCAACTTGGAAGCACAACAGTATTTTTAACATCCCAGAAATAATTACTCATCATCTCTCTTTATGGCTTTCCTGGAATATTCTTTATATTCTTTGCTTTGTACAAAGCACTGTGTCTAGGACGTTAACTCTTCCTGCTCAGACCCGATGGGTTATTCCTGCTCAGTGCATGGATGGACTTCCTCTGAAACATGATTTTAAAATTGCATTGATGATGAGGAAAGCAAAGCACAAATTGTGATCAGAGCTTTTATCAGATACCTACTGTTTGTGTGAGGGTAGGAGATGTTTCTGATTACCAGAGGACAAGTATACTGGACTCTCCAAAGCAGAAAACAAAGATTTACAGAAGATATGCTCTTAACTCTTGCCAACCCAAGTCCAGAATTCATTCTCAACTGGTTGGAAATGCCAAGCCAAACTCTTTCAAATCTTATCTTAACCTATTTTTTTATGAAGGCTGAATCTCATTGACAGGTCTTCTTTTACTATCAGTAGTAGGACAAAACTCCTCAGGTTACTCATTCACAAGGACACTATTAGTTTACTCCATATTGAAGTTTACTGGATTTGGCTTTTTATAAGGCAGCAGCAAGTAATTGCATGGAACATATTTTTTTCATTGTCCCCATCTGTAAATCTGTAAGAGGGTACAGTGAGAGCAGAAATAGTGTGTAAACACCATACAAAATAATCTTTGGCCTTTGATAAGGATGCATTGATTTCAGTCATCTGGTTATCACTCAATTTTTATATGAAATCACTTTATATGAATGTATAGTTTATTTTAAATACTTAGCTCCTCTAAATCACAACCACTGATTTTTTTTTCCTTTTTGAGAGTAGCAAGAAACATCAGCTAGGTCTCCTCTCAGAAAAAAATAAATAAAATAAAAGAGGACCTACAGCCCAGTGTGTGGCCAGATAGGACATAACTTCATCTTTTGTCACGGGTTGGTAAGCAGTAAACCTGCTGAGATTTAGCTGGGAACTGGTGCTTACTCATGTTCCTTGTAGACCTTGGGCCAGCTGACCGTGGATGAACATCAGCCAGGGCCCGTGACCAGCAGCAGCTCATCAGGGCAGCCATGGGCCACGTGAGTCCCCATGCTCTCTGACTTTCCATTCCCTTGTCTCCTTTTGCTTCTCTTTCCTTTCTGCTTTTTTCTCCATTTCTTCTCTTTTCCAGTCATTCCTTTCTGCCCTGTTCCTCCTCTAGCTTTTCCCTTTGCTCAAGTGTTCTGTCCCTCTCCTCTGTTCCCTTCAGAAGAGGAGAAGTGGGTAGTGCTGTAATTCACAGTTGATTTCTTACCTAGTCTGGGATAAGCAGCAAAGAACTAAGGAAACAACAGGCATTTTGTTTGGAAAACGTCACAGGTCCTTTAGGACCCTAACTCAATCTCTCCAAAACAAAAAATCAATTGCCATTTTTAATAGGCATCGGATGACAACTCAAGGTACCACTCCTTAAATGCAATAATGAGTCAGCTCATTCTAGAAGTTGCTGCGTACGGAAAACATTTTGCCAATTATTCATTAACAATTCTACAAAATTAATCACAGCCATTATTTAGTGTGCTCTATCACACCAACTTTGCAATTATTCAATCCCCTTGTTTTTACATACCTATTCAAACCCAGGAAATAAAGACTTCTATTAAGTTAAGCACATCTTTCTGAACTTTTTAAAATGCAGCAACTCTTGGTTTTCCGCCTTAAGTCATACAAAGGACAAGGCTATAAGAGCTAACAACGGTTCTTACAAAAACATTAAAGAGATTATAATGTTACTTTCACATTTTTAATATGAGATAGGGTTCTGCACCTCAGATTTAATGCACACAGAATAGTTGCAAGTACAATGGCATTTGGATAGCAACATTTAGAAGCAAAAAATTACAAGTGTACTGACATGGTTTTTGTGCTTCCTTATAACACAGAAGCTGCTGCTCTTTGTCCCACACATCCCTTGTGTCAGAAGCAGCCCAATACTAATAAATCTTGAACACACTTTTGAGATTCATAGCAAGGGCTGCAACACTCGGGTGGAATTTATAAACATGTGTTAAAATTGTTTCTGCGTCATGCTAGAGCACAGACACAGAAGGAAAGGTCTCTTTGCCCTGTTACTGGGCATCATAGATGAAAACAACTTCCTTCCTCCGCCTGGGATACGATCCCTGGTATGTACAGCTCTATCTGGACGTGAAGGGGCAGGTTCCCAACTCTTGCTGAAGCAGCCCTGGGCAGATTGCATGTTCTTTGTGACCAGAAGAGATGGGGCAGCTCTGCAATGCTTTCTTCTAGCTCACTTGGGCAACCAAAGATCTTTTTAGGACACTTACTGTAAGTATTTATGAGTATTTATGTAAGGTAGCAGCAGGGCTTTAAAATCTGGCAGTGCCTAGAATTCACAGGACTCAAATCTGCTACACAACTAAGATCTGGGGTTAGATTTCTTTTTAGGCATTTACATAACCTCAGAAAGTGCTTTGCTCAGAGCTGTCAGTCAGAGACGTTCCAGCATAATTTCTAAAACATTAGGGAGTTTCACACCCAATGTACAGCAATCTGTTTGGATCCAAAAACTAGAACATGCTGTAGTAAACAGTTTTTTTCCTGATCTCATTTCATGTAATTGGGCAGGAAAACTGAGGTATCAGAGGCTTGAATCCTGCCTGGAAGAGCAGCGCTGGGCAGGGAGGGCGCAGCAAGGGTCACGGTATCGGATTGTGACTCCTCAGCTCATCAGACCAATTCCCTCTACCTTTCTGCACCCACTTGCCAATCTGGTGTCCCCAGCTTTCCACTGAGCAGCAAGTTAAGCCAGAGAACTGCAGGGATTTGTTTAATGCAACAAAAGCTTTTGTGTGGTGAATATCAGGCTTAAATCATTGTAGGGATATATCCTTTGGAAATCATACTCAGTCTCATGGAGCTTTAGAGTAGCTATTTGGAATCCATCAGTAGAAAGATTGGATGTTCCAAAAGAAAGAGGTCCTTAGCTGCAGTTTCTTTAACCAAGACCTCTCTCTTATTATTTCCAGTGAGTTCCTGCTCTCATATTCTAAAGGTAATACCAAATTTATGAGGGAGAAAAAAAATCATTCAACGTTTAAGACTGTATTAGTCTAAATAATATAAATATTTACCATAGAAAAGAATTCCCTGGCTTCCTCAGTTTCCGTCCACGCACACCCTCTTACACCACGCTGTACTTTGTGCATATGAAAGAGGAAGCGCAAGGCTGAGGGCCCGGGCCCGGCTAATGCCATGGAGCCGCACCCCTCGGGCCGAGCCGGGCCGGGCCGGGCGGAGCCGCGCAGAGCCCGCGGGGCTGCTCAGGCCGGCACCCGGCCCGGCCCGGCCCAGAGCCCCTGGCCAGCAGCGAGCGGGGTGCCGGAGCTGCTGTCCCAGGCACCGGCCCGGCCCAGAGCCCCTGGCCAGCAGCCAGCGCGGTGCCGGAGCTGCTGTCCCAGGCACCGGCCCGGCCCAGAGCCCCAGCCCCAGCCAGCGGGGTGCCGGAGCTGCTGTCCCAGGCACCCGGCCCGGCCCAGAGCCCCAGCCCCAGCCAGCGGGGTGCCGGAGCTGCTGTCCCAGGCACCCCCGTGCCTCCAGGCAGAGCCACACTGGGGCAGGGCAGCGCCGACTCGGCACCACAGCCTGAGGAGCGGCGGCGTGGAACAAACCCAGGGCCATGGCATTGGCCTTGAGCATGTGCTTGTCTGTTGGTTTTCTGGGGAATTAGGTTGTGTCTCTTCATGACAGTAATCGCCCACCCTGTCCACTGAAGCTCCCTGAGCTCCCAAATGTCCTGGCCCCAGGTGACCCCACCTGGCCCTCTGTGAACCCCTTCTACCCACCACACACACCTTGTGCTCAGCAGCTCCTTGTATCCATTAACCTTTAGAGCATGCATAGAGCTTTGTCCTCCCAAGAACTTTTCCTTCCGTAGAAAACCCATTCCCCCTCCCGCCCTTTTTTCCCCTTCAGCTTAAAGAAATAAAAGAAAATAAAGGAAAATATGGGGATTGTGAACTTATATTTACCACCTGCACATTTATGTAGGGGAAAACATTCTCACCCAGCTCCACTCAGACTTCCATGCTATTGTAAAGGCACTGTGCTTGACCCTGGAGCTGATAGTACATTCCATACTGCCAGCTTCCTACAGCACCTAACTCCTGGCAGTGCTGGAACACTGCAGTTATTCCGTTCACATGTGCCTGCGCATACTGGTGCACACCTGACTGTAAAACACAGCTGTATTCTTAAAACAAACACAGATTGCATCACGCTAACAGAATATCTTTTGGCTTGAAAAAAGAGTCATCTATTTTACATCCCTTATCAATTACGATATCTAAATTTGGAGCATCCAGGTAGTATACTCACTGATTTCTCAGTCAGCCTCCTGTATTTTCATTCTGACAGTATTTTTCAACCCCAGCAACTCATGATCCCACATGTTAAAAACAAGAGCAATTGCTCATGTACCCTGTGCAGCAGAGCTGCCATTCCAGTGGGGAAAGCTTGACAGCCTGCAGCTCTTGTGCAGGCAAGACTCCCACAGAGGGGAGCATGACTGCATGTCCCTAACATTATCACACCAGCCTCACTGTTTGAGGAAAGGCTTTTCTGCATGGACAGCACTTGGGTATTTTGTTGTAAAGGAAGAAAAAAGGCTAAAATACCAAACTTCCCAAATGCTGTCATTAATAGCAATAATAAGTCAGATCAGCATGTTTTGGTTTTCTATATAAGGGTATGTTGAACTATCAAAGGATCTCTCTCTTCCAAAGAGAGACAGGTGATGGCTCTTCCCATATCTCAGATTAGATGGGGGTTTTCATATTCTTATACTTGTGCTACATGTGTATGCTTTAATGTCCTTTTTGAAATGCTGCAGTTGAGGCTCCAATTGGGGTGGCCCAACACTCAGAGCTGTTTCAGCCAATGCTCATGTAACATCACAAACTCAGCAGGGTTGCCCTGCATTTAGACTGCTTTAAGAAACTTTGGTTCCCATTCTTCATGCTGTCCTGTCTTTCCCATACTTGCACCTTGGCACAGGGAGCAAACACAGCAGCACAGGCTGAAGTGTTCTCCTATACATGGTTCCCTGAGCACAAAGCAAATATCCAAGAACCTGGAGCAAGGACCTGTCCTGAAAGAGGCTGGTATGGAATTTGTCACCAGATACAGGAAGCTGCAGGTTTTTTTTTTTGGTTTTTTTTTTTTTGTTTTTTTTTTGTTTTTTTTTTTTTTACCCTGCAGGAACTCTGAATCAAAGTATCTAGAAAAAGTGAAATTTAGTAAAAATTGTATCATCCTTTTTATCACTGTTTTCATCTCCTGAATCCTTGCAATAGCATTTTGGAAAGAGCTTCTCTGAGAGACAAAGAAGTTTTGTCCTGGGGAGCCACTGCCCAGCAAGGGCAGACCCCCTCCTGTCACCCCAAGGCAGCAGATCAATGCCACCTCATGTCCTGGCTTTCTCTGACCCTGTGCCCAGAGGACCCACAGTGCAAAACACTTCATAGCTCACACAGGCATCAGCATCTGCCTGAGTCCAGACATCCAAGAAGCATCAGGAACAGCAGACATTGCAATGTTTAAATTTGCTAAAAAATAGAAGAGTGCATGGCAGCAATGTTCCACATGAAAGGTAAAATTCACAGCTGGAGCAGGCTGTGAAGCTCTGTGCACATTGTAGACTCCATCCTGCTGAGCGGGGATGTGACATCTGCCTGTGCCTCTCCTGCGGGGGTCAGCTCGGACCTGCCTGTGGCAGAAGGGATGCCACACAGCCTGGCCATCCCCCTGCCACCAAGGCCAGCCACAGCTGCTCCTGCCATCACTGGCTGCATTATTTCCAGCCATTAAAGCATTTCTCTGCAGGCTTGGATTTTCATATCAGAATCTAGGATCTACAGACTAACCCTATAAACCAAATTATATGACTGAGACCCTCTTTCTCCACCAGGGCAGAAACAATTTTGACCCCCATTTATCCTCTAGCAGTCTTTTCCTACAGGTGAGTGGCCCACAGTGCTTCACCACAATTAACCATGGCCGTGGCTCTTAGTAGCAATTTGTTTTCAATTACCTCCTTCAGGCAAATCTGAATGATTATCAACAGTTTTTTTCACATTTCTTTCTGCTGCCAAGTCTGTATCAAAGTGCTCAAAGCTGTTGATCCTGCAATATTCCAAATAAACCATCAGGTGCCCCTGGTGAAGGCCAGGGTAGCCCAAACACTGTGGTGCTTTGCCCAGCACAGAATCATGGGCATGGACAGAGATTACTGCCCAGTGAGAAGTGCAGGGCTGGTGCCACAGAGCCACCCTGGTGTCAGCTCTGCTGAGTCCAGAAGAAGTGCACACCCACTAACAAAATCACTATTGCCTGGGGCTGCAGTGCCAGCAGGGGAGTGGCAGCAGCTCCTGTCCCAGCTGAGCCCTCTGAGGTGCTGACTGGTCCCAATGCAAAAGTGCTCACACAGGCTTGGGAACACGCTGCCTTCCATCCCTGGAGCATCTCCACCACTCTAAGGTAGCAGGGACCACACTTAAGCTGATCCTAACAGTAGTTCTTCCAAGGCACGGAAATGAAGAAAGGAAACTGCAGCACAATGTGGATCCTAATTGCATTTGCTCTGCAGGCTCGGAAATGTCAGTCAAACAAATACGCCATTGCCTTTACTGCTCTGCAGTTGCCATTTACTATTTTACTGGGAAATTGTCCAGGAAAGGGATACTACCTAGAAGGGACCATTATGCTAGCACTGGAAACCAGCAATATTTCTGAACAACCCCACGGGCCCATTATCTGTTCCTACGCTGCGGAAAGACGAGAAGAGCCAGAGCGAGCCAATTTGTGTTTGTGGCAGCAATCGCAGCTGTGGAGGGGATGGAGACAGCCCAGGACCCAGCGGGCACATCTGAACTGGTGCACGCTCTGGAGCTGTGACAATTCACACCAGAGACGAGCATGATTCACTGAGTGAAGAAGAAAAAAACCTATCTTAAAATGAGTTCTTTTATGAGCCTGAGTTTCATCATGCAACTTTATCAGAGTTTATGAGAAATGGAGCAAACAATATGAAGATGCAGAACATGCCCCCTCTCCAGCTCTATCAGTCCACAAACCCAGTAATTTCCAGGACATGCAGAAACCATGGGGTAGATGGGTTTTGCTGAGGCGACAAAGCCCCTTTCCCAGCCCCTCCAAAACCCAAAACCATCTCTTATTCTCTGGCAATGCCTCTTGCCCTCCAGAGAGCTCAGTTCTATTGGCAGCTCCTTGATACTTAACTACCACTCTCCTACACTTGGAGTGAGTGACTGAGATACTTAATATGCAGAATCATTCTGAATCACCCCATTTTACCACTATTTCTCCTCCAAGTCAAAAAAAGCATAATAAAGGGTACTTAGCCCACTTCTGCTTACTGTAATTCCCCATCTGCTCTCCACAAAGATACACAGATCTACCTGGAACAGATTTCATTGACTTCTAAGAAAAACTCTGTCTGTCTGTCTTTCCTTCTCTTCAGTTAGCTAGTTCCAGAGGGCAATTTCAGACCTACTTATAGGTTCAGCCTCTGTGGGCAGGGTGAGTAGGGGCTGTGCCCAGCACAAGTGAGGAGAAAGCCATCCATTACCAAAAGAGGCAGCTCCCACCCCTCTGGAAATCACGTCTGCCCTTCACACCAGCACCTGTGAAGGCTTGCTGTTTGCAGAAGGTTCAGCAATCATTTCACTTCTGACATTTTTTGGTTTTCATCACATTGTCTCTGGCACTGAAAGCACAAGTGGATCAATGTTCAGTTAAGCCCTTGTGTCAGGGCACCCTGTCCCTGATACTGACTAACAAGGCCATGCAGTGTCCTGCAAGCAGAGGACAGGAATGGAGCAGCACCAGCAGTGCTGTGGCTGCTCTCTGGTACAGGAGTGGCTGTTCTGCTGTGGGCTGGCAGCTGCATTCTCTGCCTCACATGGATGTACACCTTGAGCATTCAGTCCCTTCCTAGTTCTTTCCATACTTTTTTGGTTCTAGGTATAGTTTCTGCGGACATACAAGCTGAATGTTTTTTTTTTTTTCATTTTAAACAAAAGAAGTGTCATGTTTTATCACCCCCTTCTCTCTGTTTCTCAGATTGGATTTCTTAAATTCACATGGGTTATGCATTTTCATAAACCACATTGGCTGCAGTAAGCTGCGTTTGAATCATCATTTAGAGAAGTAAAGATTTAATTTCATGGTGGAATTAAGGTTGACATTTCCTTTTTATTTACACTACACCAAGGATTAATAAGGTTACTATAACCTTAATCTTTGATAGCTCAACAATAGAATACTCCAGGATTACTGCAAAAGCTGGATTTTAACTCTTTTAATCCCATTATTGTTGATAACCTTATCAACACTGTGCTCCACCACAGAGGTGGAGTGGAAGGATCTCAGGCTCTGAAATTCCTTACCATGGAGCAACACTTGTAGTTTAAACAGAAGAGCCAGAGGTAGTTGCTTGGTTGATGCCTGCAGCGAGATTCACAGCTTGCAGTAGGGCTGCAATGCTGCTTCTAAGCGCTTTGTCAGAGATCTTTGCCAAGAAAAACATTGGTCCAGTGGCATATGTTGGTGGAGCAATGCAAGGTTACTCTAATTCCCTTACTTTGTTTTTCCCTACTCCCATGCGACAACTATTCCAAGAATCAGACTGCCAGTCTGGCAAGTTGAGATCCAGAAACTTACTGCTAATTACCATGTTTACAATTCCCAACCTGTCTGTTGGTGCCAACAATCAAACTGCATCCTCTTGAGTGCACCAAAAGACACTTGCTGGCAGTAGTTTCCTAAGGTTCCAGGCTGGCTACATTAATTACTGTTAACTTAATTTTTCGGTATTGAAAAGCAGCTTTAATTAGCAATTCCATGGATCAAAATCATCCTTTTATGAGTTTCAAGGAAGCTCGACTTATAGACTACTTACCAACCTATGAGTCTTTTATTCGGAAACACAAGTGGTAATAAATTTATATGTGGCCTGATAAATAAAGTAGGCAGAGGTTCAGTAAAAATTACACCAGGAAACAAAAGGTTATGCCTTCCCTTTGAAGTAAAAGATGAAGCTCTAGAAAGGCAGGTTGGATGTATTTTATCATCCTCAGTAAACATTTGACTGCACAGAATAAACCACATTCTGAAGGTGTATCACTGAATCAAAGTATTTAATGAATTAAAAGAAAAAGCATGCATTTTCAAATAACTGCAGGGCACAGCCTGAGCAAAGAGTCCCCTTTGTGCTGTGAGTCCTAGCCTGAGACTCCTGAAGGCCATGTGACTACTCATTTGGGATCCCTTTTCGTTGAGCACATGCTTCAACCCTCCCAGATTCAGCAGAGCACACAGGGCTGTGCAGTACCTGGGAACAGGCTGCCAGCTAAATGTCTGTGCCCAGGGCCATGACTGCAGAGCCCACCTAATGCCCACAATTTCCCCCCCTCCCCAAGCAATAAATTTCTAACCTGTATTTTCCATGGCAATGGGATTCAATCTCCATGATGCTGGCTTTAAAATGTTGGTCAGTTGATAAGAACTGCACTACACTGCCTCTCTGAAGATGTTTTTCTCTGTTCACTGCCTGGCATGGAGCTAAAACATGGAGAGCAGAGCTACCCCAAGCTCTGCCCAGATTCTGCCCAGATGCAGCCTGGTGCTGCTGAGGTGGACAAGCTGCTGCCCACAGCACAAGGCTGCTCTGGTCACTCTGGCAGCATGTGGATGCTGGTGCAGCCAATGCCTGTCTGTCCTGAGACTGCAATCAGTCTCATCTCTTAGGAGTACTTATATCTGCTTATAACAACATTGGTCCTACCTGACTGTGTAAAGATAGGCCTAGGTGTCTGATTTTAAGCCCCTTTTTTCTAAAATCTTGGTCTAACTGGTGCCCTAACAGGCTACAGTGAGACTGTCTTTTCTGGTCTGCAGCAGATTCTCCACCATCTCACCAAGACCCAAGACATCAACCAACTTCCCTGCTCTCCTGGCAGTGTTTCACAGGCTGCCAGCCACTGCCAGGCTCCTGCTCCTGCACCACAGTCCTACTCTGTGAGGTTGCAGTGGGCTACTAAGGAAAAGATAACCCAGGGCAAGATTCAGGCATATGAAAAGCCATGTGGGGTATGGGAAATAGAGCCAAGCAGGGAGTAAGCCAAGGAGACAGACACTAAAATCAACAGGCATTTTAACTTACAGGGGAAGAAGGGAAGGAAAATGAATCAGTGCTCCCAGAGGAGGCAGTCTGAATCTACTCTGATCCTAAAGCAAGAGAGTGGAAACAGGCGTTTAAGAGCAGTTCATTTATACAAGGCATACTGAATATACCGAGCAAACTACTGAAGGAGGCAATAAACCTGCATCTTGGAGAATGGTCTAAAAGGAGTTAGATTGGCACTTCAGAGCAAAGAGATATTTGAGGCTGCAAAGGCAAGCAGCAGCACACGGAGACACATGGACACAGCTCACGTGGCCCACGCTATTGACGTGTTTTCCCTCCCCAGCCCAGCCTGCTGAGCTTGATTACTTACATCTTGTATAACTTACATAGTCTAAAGAGAGTCGGCCAATTTCCACTCAATTTATAATTTAGCAAGCAGAGGAGCTTGATTCTTCTAATTTACATAAAACATACATAAAACTGAAAACAAAATAGCTTTAGAGCATATGGGCAAAGTACACAAGAGCCACAGAGGAAAAGCAGGAGTGAAGAAGGATACAGAGCAAAAGCACTGTCTGGATTGTGCTCTGCTAAGGGGTTCTGAGTACCTTATTTATGCTAAATATTTCACAGACATGCCAGTCTTCATCATCACAGACACGTGTTGGTGGACAATCAGCACACAGATGTACCTAACCTACGCCATAACGCTGAATAGGGCTTTTTTATTGCATCTTCTCTTTCTAGGTAAAGAAATATTGTTGAAAACCTTCTGCAACAATATGGCAAGACAGCATCAGTGTATATGGAGGTAGAATTGCCTTCCTCCCATTCCCTCTTGGGCATGTCCCTGTCTCACAAAGAAAGGAAGCTCTCGCCCTGTGGGTAAACCCAAGTCAGCATTCCACTTCCTGGGGAGCAGCAGCGGGGCTGCGCTCTTGTGACCATTTCTCCTGCATTCCTCCTCCAGGACTGCCGAGTTCTGGCAGAGCCAGAGAAGGCATTCTCTGAGAGGAGACACCACCTGCCAAGCGTGGAAGCTGGTATTCCTCCCTTGGCATGGTAGGCTCCAAATCGTGCCTCTCTTCTCCATTTGCCTGAGGAGTCATCCTGGGTACTAACAATAGACTCCATGGAGGCTGGTGGAGCTCAGGCTGCCTCACCAACTTCTGTCTGAATTCAGTCATTTCCAGTGAGCAATGTATAAATAGATGCTGCCTCATTATTGATGTATATTGTGCAAAGGGTTTAGCCAGGGATGAAGCTTGCCTGCTTTCCTTTTATGGATGAAAAACGGGATCCCAGAGCCTTTATGTGAGATCTCTGTGCATGTCAATCAAACCACACCAGGAGGAAGATTCTGTGCTCTTAGGTCCATGTTAAATGGCAGCCGCATGGCCACAAGTCCATGGGAAAAAAATGCGTATGTGTTTAAGCACATTTACAAATATGCACAACAAAACCAAATGAAAAAAGAATTCTGATAGTTGCAGCCTAATTTTTCTATTCCTTTTCAAATCCCAAGACTGGGCTGTAGTCTGGGCCACTCTGACACAAATCTCATTTGACATCGTTATAAACCACTGATTTACACTAATGGAAGAGTTAGCCTCTGATTTAGGAAGCAGACCTTAGCAGCTGGCCCAAGCCTGAGCATCTCAGCCCTGCAGTCTGGCTGTAGCACATTGATACTTGCCAGCTAAATTTGATCATGAACTCTAGTGAAGGCGAGCTATCGATATTTCAGAAAGCCATTCCTCACACTTCTGAGCAGCAAACGGCCCATCACTAAGAAGGCCAGACCCTTGTCAGCATGAGCTGACTTATATGAAATGAAACACTGACCTCACTGCTAGCTCCAGAGTTAATCTCAGAAGAGAGATTTTATTGGAGAAAGCAGAGCTATTGTTCCGAGTCTCTCTACAGGGCACATGTTTAAGTTTTGCATCCAAGAAATGTGGAATACTTAAAATAGAGTTGCATTTGATAAAAACTAAAACCTGAAAAGCCTAACTAGGTATTGTGAGTGTGGATTTATTAATTTGATTTGTTTTTCTTGGATTTCTCATCACACCCATTCAGCATCCTTTGCCTCGCTGGAGTTTTTCCTCCCTCTCTACCAGACAGGCTGGAGCAGAGTGAGCAGCACTGCCTCACTGCAGCTCCAGAAAAAGAAAACTAAACATGTCTATATTCATCTCTAACCAAAGGTCTGGACTGGTCCTGCCTTCTTTGCTGGTAAGAATTTAAATAGAAATACAAGCACCTAAACAAGAAGAGTAAAAGGGAGTGGGTTTGGCTCTTGCTTCCTAGAGCAAGACTCGCAGATGCCATTTTCATCAAGGGGTTCTTTGAACAACAGAAGGCAAATGGATTTATCACATGTGTGACACATGATGGGACAGCCACATGATGTCATAACACAACAAAGGACACTGAGCAGTAAAGCCAGAAAGGATTGTACTGAAACCTTGAAAGTAATTATGTTATTATGTTCTGTATAACTCAGACCCGGGCAAAAGGTGTCTTTCTTAAAAAATGGAAAAATCATCACATCTTAACCTGAGGTCTGAGAAAGTTTCCACTACTCTCCTCCATAGTTCAAGACCTTAAAAAATAAAAAATTACGAAATTAAATGATCCTGACATTTCTAAAATAAAACATGTTGAGACAAAATCCCTTTCATCCCCTCAAATCTTTTGCATGTATTGTAAACAGGGAGGGGGACAGCAAGGCAGAGGAGGAAGGTAGGGGAACAAGAAACAGTTTTTACCATAGTGGTCATTTTTAACAACTAGAGCATCAAGACTGTAATAAGTGTTGCTCCAGTAAAACAGCAAGCAATAAACTGTAAAACAGCAGAATGTATCATGGCAAATTGACGAAGGGGTAATACAAAATGCATTTTCTTGGAGTAACCAGGTAAGTTATCTCCTGAAGAATGATTGTTAAAGGAAGAGTTTCCAGATGGTGGGAAGCATTAGTGCATGAAGCCTCCCTGCTCTATTTTCCACCTAAATTGAAGAAATAAAATAAATCCTTAATAATGTAGTAATTAATTATGCCTTTTTATTTGATTTTGTATCAGCATCTTTTAGGAGAATGTGAATATTTGCACGGCTATTACTATCAGATAATCTAAAAGTAGTCATACAAAATCTACGTTATCTATGTAAATGCCTCTGTAAGATGGTTCTTTTTTTGGTAACAGGCTGCACAATTGCATGCTGTACTGTTCTGGTTCAGAATGTTCCTCTTTCTCCAATTAGAGAAGACCAGCCCCATGTTGATCACTTTATCTTTGATTTCCAATGATTTAAAAGATTGGTTTGACCTGTCATCATTAATAAACTTTGTGGTATTGTCCTGATTGTTTCTGAGTGAAGGAAGCCCTGATATTACAAACAAGGTTATGAATCAGCAATTATTATTAAAGTCAGCTATATTTTTCCACATTTTATGCCTCATGCAATAATGGGAAACGGGTGTACATTGTGTGCAACTCAGATGAGCTGATACAGAACAACACGGTGGTGACAACTGACCCCAAAATGGATAAAATATCTACATAATCTGAAATACTCTTGAAAAGTTTGGAAAGTGTAAGTTACCTCTTGTGGGCCTAGCCCTTTCTTTCTAGTGGTATAAAGTGCTGAGAAATTATCGGAGCCATTTCAGCTCCACGGAGCTGTGCTGCAGCAGTCGGAGGCAAGAGGCCTCCCCAGACGGCTCTCCAGCCCTCCGAGGGTGACTACTGCTTGCTGTCTCTTGGCCAAGTTAATTTTACTTCTCCCAGGCAAGGGCTTTCCTGCCTGGAGATTGCTTTGCCGCTTTATATCATCCCCACTGGCTAGAGGGGTATAGGGTTCACTGAAAGGAAATGTTTCTTGATAGCCATGCTGCATTTTCTCTGTACATGGCTTCTAGGTCTATTTGCACACACCAGGCTACATCGCTTTCCTGCTGGTTTCTGCAGGAGAATGATTTCAAAAGCAGGACACTAATTTCATTTATCTATATGGGCATTATTACTGTGTAATTTTGGCTAGATATGTGTAATCATATATATTTATATGTGCATGTGTATATATAAAAATATATATAAACCACCTTTCAGGTATATATATTCAAGGCTCTTATTTTTTCCATCAATCAACCCACTCTACTTTCTGGAACACTTCACCTAATTTTTGTTTGGCTGCTCATAACTAGATACTGTTGTTCCAGGAAGCAAACTACCAAACCTGTGTGATGTTCTAGGCCTGGTTTCTACCCTTCTGGTACATACTTCCAGCTCCACACTGCAATGCCTCCTCACCTACAGTCCCTGGTGCCTCACCCCTCCTCTGCCCTCTGAAAAGCTGGGTCACATCTACCTTCTACCATCACCTCCTCGACTCTTCTCTTTACCTTCCTCAGGATCCTCTCTGTCCTTTGCAGTCAGACTCTTTCCATCACCTCTATGAATTCTGGCTTGTTTTTTCACTTTTAGACTACTTATTTTTGGCATGTCATTTAAATTTCTTTTGAGTCATTGTTATTATCGAGCCAACATTTATAAATAGCTCTATGCATTGCAGGTATGGGATAATCAGGTCCTTTGATTTTTGAGCAATTTGGTTACTAAATGATAGCAATAAAAAGCATGTAATCATCATGGGCGTTAGCCCAGGAAATGTTTCTACCATTAAAGCTTTCAGGAGGTAGATGATGATTCTGGTAAAAATTTATGGCTCTTAATAATGAGTGTTATGATTTACCATTACAACACTAAATGGTGAGGTGTCATAACAGCTATGGGTAATACCTGGGGGCGATGCTTTTCAGAAAAATAGTGATCTATTAAAAGGAAGAGAAAAAAAACCCTTTTGTGTACGTAAAGTGCACAAAAAAGTAAAAAGTGTAAAAAGTGCATAAAAATCCATTGTGTACGTTACGGCTAGTGTGATGTAAAAAGGCATAGAAAGAGGCTAGTTAGCTTATTCTTCCAGCTGCAAAGTATGTGTGGAACTGTGTGGATGCATAGATATTAATGTTTTCAGTTTCCTCAAGGAAACCCCATGAACACTAGAAGCTGCCTGAACTGACACAGAAGAAAACAGCTTGTTATACAATCCCCTCAAAATCATATGTAGTCTTAAAAGCAGAAAGTAAAAACATCTGCATAACTGTACACATCTACATGCACCACTGTGGGCATTTATTTTAGGCAGATTTGCAGCAGCAAGAGGAATCATAACACAGGTCATAAATACCCACTGCAACAGCACGGCCCCCGCTGAGGTGAGTGGGTGTTGTGCCTCTGTCAGGTCTGGGAAAATGGGGCTTTTCTGCTATGCTCTAGCCTCTCTGAATTCAGAGAGGGGTGCCTGTGTGTAAATAAGTATATTTATACCATTCAGGGATATATACATATGTAACAGCTGTAGTTTTAAATATTTCTGGAAAGAGCACCTGAAGTCCAGTGGCAGTCCCTACACTTAATTTAGGGTACTGCTAAGCAGAGAAATGCTTCACACTGTGGGTAGACCCAGGCAGGGCTGTGACCCTGCCTGCACAGGACTGCAGGGACCAAAACTACTCCTTGTACTCGCAGTCCCGCCATGGGGCACGATGTGATGTGCCCATTGTGCCCAGAGATACACACAGTCCTTTGGGCAGCTCCCCGCTCTGGGAAGACCCGGGCAGGGTGGGGGACAGCCAGTGTCACAGTGTCACCTGTGCTGCACCAGGGCCGCTGCCACACCAGCACCTGCTCTGCCACCAACCAACCGCCTGTGCCGCTCTGGGGGCCCTGGCGTGACAAACACTTACCTATGGCAGCAGCCTTCAAGGCTACTCCAGCAGAGAAAATTACCAGAGATATAAATCTTCATAGGATTATGGCCTTTAAAGACAAGGCTAAGTTCAAGTAATTATTGTTGGGGTAAATTTTTAATTTGATTTTCTACCAGGATGCAGATTACAAAACCCATTTTAAAACAGAAATCTAGCATTCTGAATTAATTAAATATGCCCTCACCAAAATAGCTGTTAATGCACAGTTGGTGCTGCCACAAACCTCATTCTAAAATGTCTTAGGAAGTGCTCATACTGAAACAATTAAACTCCCTTATTTAAGTAATTTTTTACTATGTTCCACTATAAACTTTTAGTGTAATTTTTGCCATTAATGAACTATCATTTGACTACTAGAGGCAGAGAGGTTTTAGAGTTATTTTTTTGGTTAGATTTTTTAGCACACACGATTCGCAATTTCTGAAGCAAAGTAGGAAGCCTAGCATTGCAAAAAAATCCCTTTCACTAGGGGTCTAATCTTTCCCACAGTGCAATCAATTGGGACTTTGCTGTTGCACTGGATAGTAGGATTTGGCCCTAAATATTTTGGATTTAACACGAGCAAGCTTGCTTTCTTGAGCAGTCCCATGGAAGCTAAGTGCATTGCCAGGATCAGACCCACAGCATGAATAGTCACTACTTAGACGTCTGCTGTTCAGAAATGACCCCTTCTGTCCTTCAATATGTATATGTGACAGACCCCTGGAACTACTAATAAATGGGGGGAGTCCCTCTGAGATCATGCTATTGGAAACATCATCCAAGAGTCCACATTGAGCATTTATACAATATTCTAGAATCATTTTGGCAAGCATATCCAGTATTTCTCCAATTGGATCCTACACTTTAACTCTTTTAACCCACATAGCAAAGCAATTCCCAAAAGATTTTAGAGATTTTAGAGAAGAGAAATCTACAATCATCAAAATGTTAATTTTGACAATGACAAAGAGTACATGCATTAAAAATGCATCAGCCCTGTCATTAAGGCATTATTCAGCAAAACCATCTCATCATGCTTTACAGAAAGCAACTAGGAGAAACCAAGTATAAAGAGCCATTTGCTAAGTCCAATACATACTACACAAGGCACTCAACCAAGCAAAGAGCAAACAAATCCATGCTCTTCATGTAATGAAATGGGAACTCTTAATAATATTCTAAGTCATGACTCAATGGAAAATGTAAACTAAAAGCTCTGACCGGAGGAAGGTTTGTAATACAAACCTGGATTTTAAAACAGTGTTTCCATGGCTTTTCCTGCAGCACTTGTGAATGTGGCTGTGTTACGGTGCTGAACTGACTATGGCTTAGCAGCCGATCATGTCTTTTTAAAGCATAATTTAACATTTTTTCTGAGGCTGTTGAACATACTAAACTACAAGGAAAAAAATCTGCTTTCAAGTGATATTAGAGAAACACAAGGATCAGAGTGCTAGCATCAAAGATGTGTCTAAAGAATAACAGATCCACATGTCTGTGTTACAACCAGCACTCCACTCACTACTAAAGGCAACAGACTAAGATTGCTTTGGCAGTTGTTGGAAATTATTAAGTAGAACATTGACAGCATTTAAATCTCTAAGCAAGAGTCAGAGAGAAAGACATTCTCCATCAGCCCACCTCGTGCTGTCAACAATCACCCCACGCCTGGCTTGTCCACATTAAAAATCATTCCTAGCCCCATCATAGCTGAAGTTGGGGAAGGATGCATTTAAAAAGGCTGTTTTATCACAGGACTCCTGGTCTTGCTTTAAAATGGCTTCTGATCTAATTCACTTAAGGCTGAAATCTGGTCTTACAATTGTGACTACATGGCAACAAGACCTGGGATCATATGGGCATGTGGAGAGGCCTTGAATGGCAAAACACAGGCATGATTACACCCTGCTCCTTTCCCTGACAGGCTTGTGGGCAGAGGAACGGGGGAAAAAAGACAGGAACTATGAATGCTATGCCTGGATTTCCCTAAGCACAACATCTGAAAGACTGATCAGGGTTTTAATCAAATCCTGTACCCTGCTGCTGAGATTGGAGAGAAGGACAGATGCATTTTCTCTGCGTTAAAGCGATGGGGCATATCCTGGCCAGTTATAGGAATCAACACTCCCTTAGTTGTGTCTCCCACCTGTCCAGCTGCAAGTAGCATTTGGGGAGTCCTGAGCTCTTGAAAAGGGCACAAATAAACCACCACCTGAGCTGCAGAGGGGAAAAAAACCCCTCAGCTCTGGCTCTGAACTTGTGTCTCAATCTGGGGCCTCAGAAACTGATAAACTCTGCTGGGCTGGAGCTGGTGTGGATGTGAATTCTTAATCCTGCCCTCACCAGGTTGCAGGGTGAGGATAAAAGGGCAAGAGGGGCACTGCCTTTATTGAAAGCAAGCGGCCTCAAACGGCTCCCCAGGAGCGGCCCCACTGGATGGCCGAACCCCTCGGCAGCCGGGGAAGAGGGCTTCCCCGGGCGTCGGGCGCTCTGCGGCCGTGCGGGCTGTCCCTCGCCTGGCTGGCACGGGGCGCTCGGCACCTGCCCGCCCGCGGCCACCCCAGCCCCGCACGACTCGGCCGCTGCGGGCGCGGGGCCGTGACCGCCGGCGGGGCGCAGCCCGGGCTCTGCCCTGCGGGCACTCCGCGTCCCGGTGGGAAGGACCCCTGGCCGCCTCGGCTCCCCATCCGCGTCCCACGCGGGAGAGGGGCGAGGGGCCGCGGACGGAGCGGGCTGGGGGCTGCCGACCGAGTGGCGGGGCACCGGGGCTGCCCGGACGGGGCGAGAGCCGTGCCCCGGGCCCGGCGCAGCCTGAAGAGCGCTGGCCGCGAAGGCGCAGCCCGCAGCGGCCGCGGCTCCCCGGCCACCCTCTGCCCAGGAGCTTGGCCAGCCTGCCGCGGCCCTCCCCAGCCCTGGGCTTGCTCCCACGCACACACACACAGCGGGCACCCCCCTCCGCAAGAGACAGGGCGTTCGAGCTCCCCCCGCCCGGGCAGAGACACAGAATGAAACATTGCAAAGCGTAGGAAAAGATCGAAAAGGTGCTACCTTGGCAACTAGAGGAGGTGAGGAGCCAGCTGGTGGGCTGGGGGCGGTCGCGCTGCCTGCCTGCCTGCCCGCCGCCGGTACTCTCCTCGACTACGCGTATTCTTAAGCAATAACAACGTAATCCGTATTATCCACCCAAGAATACCCGTCACCGAAGAGAGTCAGAAAGCTGCTGCTGTTGCTACTGGTGGTGGAAGTGCTGCACCGGGACAATAAATCCATAACTATAATTCGCCTCCAGAAGAAGGAGAATCCACAAGGGTTGCCAAGCGATCTTGTCCCATATCCAGTGGACGCTGAACCTTCCCATCCTAAGAAAGCGAACGAGACGAGCAGGCATTTAATACACACACGTACAGTCCCTCTGCTCTCCTGCTCCCTTACTGGAGTGGGCAAGAGCTTGCAGGCGAGATGAAAGGAAATAAATCAAAGTAAGGCTGACTTTACCTGGTGATTGCCTGGATTCTTCCTCTGTGCTTCTCTGGTATCCTATTCCCTAGCTGTATGCGCCATCAATTCTCTCTGGGAGCTTGCAAGAGATGTCATACGCAGCAACAGATTCCTGTAAAAGAGATGCACGGTTAAGCACACAAATATTACAAATCTGTTTGCATAGGTGGGCTTGGGAAAGCTCCGATAAAGCAGCAGACACGCCTGAGAGACTTTTCATCTGAGCTTTGGAAATGCATTTTACAAGTCCTGACTCACACTGACTCGATGTGCTACCAAGAGGAGGGAGGGCGGAAAGGAAGGCAATGGAGAGGAAAAAAAAAAAATCAAAGAAAAAAAAATAGCAAAGGCTCCGATCTCAGCAGAGGCACTCCTCTATCAGGCCTCCTAGAGCCACAAAATCTAAGGCGAAAAAGGCTTCAAAGTGCAGACTGAGCGCACTCCCCGCTCGCCGCGCGTGCCCGAGCGGCGGAGCGGGGCGGCTGCGAGGCGCCGAGCCGGGCAGGCGGCTCCGCGGCGGCGGGCGGGGGCGGCGGCAGCGCACCTCCGCCCTGACACCTGCCGCCGCCCTGCCAGGCTCTGCGAAAGGCGAACCGGGGGGAAAAATAACAATAATAAAAGAAGTTATTTCCGAATGGCGCCCGCGGCTCTGCCTGTCACCCGGAGCAGTTCCCTTATCAGCAGCGCTCGTGCCTGGGGGAGGCGGGAGGGGGAAGCTTTGTCTGATGATCTGCCGCGGTGATAATAAACGTTTATTGTTCGCCAACTAAATAGAAAGGATCTCTGCAACGTCATGGCACAGCACACTTCGCCTAGCGCTAAGGAACTTCTCCGTGCTATTTCACCCCGGCTCTTGATGCTAAGAACAGCTTCCGTGTGAGTGATGGGGAGGGGGCAATGAAATTAGCACCGCACGGTCCGAACCCGCGCAGAGCAGGGGTACTCCGCACTTCTTCAAGCCATCAGTAATTATGCAGCACACACAGCCCTCATTATCCACTGCACTCGGTGACTGACCAGCTTGTTGATTAGATTCCAACTGAAATTAATACAAGATGCTTGCTTTTTCTACAGCTTTCTTCCTTAACATGAGCCCTTGCCTCTGTTGACGTATTACCACTATGCTTCCTATGAAAACATACGAGAAGACAGCATTTGTTTTGTATCATAGACTCTTACTTGAATTTGAAAGAAATGAGAAAAACAAAGAGAGAAAGAGAAAAAAAAATACTTCGATAGCTACATTACCTTAAAAAATTTAAAAATTATTTCCAACACACTCTCCTCTGTTTTAATCTCATTTTAGGTATTATTTCCTGTATCCTGTACCAGAGCAAGCTTTCTAGTCGTATTCTAAATGGCAGCTGGAAAGTAAATAACAAACACTGTAATTTTTCCCCGCTGTGAAACTGAAGGCTGTCACCCTATTAGCTGTTGGAACTCAAATAACTGATGCAGTGGGTTTCCTTCAACTTGAACAAAAGCCGTTTGAAAAAGTGAAATGCACCGAGTCATGGCGAAAACACTATACTGATACCCTAGACCGATATTCTCCGAAATTGGGAGGCGCTCCACAAATGCATCGAGAATTAGGCAGAAATCCAAACTTTGCGTGGGGTTGGGTTTTTTTGTTTGTTTTTTTTTGAGGGTTGTTTTTTTTTTTTTTTAATATTAAAGAATGCGATTCTCGGGGAAACGCAGCCCCGCGCGGCGCCAGCGCTGTTCTCGCTGTGTCCATCTGACACTGCCCTTCCCCTCCCCGAACAACAGCCCCCCCACTACTCCCCGCTAATGCAGCGCCCGCCGAAAGTTCCCGTGCCCGGCCCCGCCGCCCCGCACCGGCCCGGCTCGCCGCGCCCCCGCCCGCGGGCCCCTCAGCACCCGCGGCCACGGACAGCGCCGAGCGCCGCCGCCGCGCCGCTCCGGGGCCGCCGCCGGGGCCCTGCCCGCCCCGCGCCCCTGCCCGCCCCGGCCCCGCGCTCCCGGCCGGCCGCACGCCCGCGGGCACCGGCGCAGCGAGCCCCCGCCGCGCTGCCCGCCTCGCACCTTCTCCGCGGCGTGCGGGAGGTGCCCGTGGCGGCGCGCCGCGGCACTAAATACCTTTGTTCACCGGCTCCGGAAAGCCATGTTTATCGGCGCTGCCGCCCCGCGCCGCGCTAAAAGAGCCCGGGTGCCGGAGCGCCAGCCCGGCGGGGCCAGCGAAGGGCCCCGGGGGGCACCTCCGCCACCTCCGCCGCGCCCGCGGAGGGGGACGCGCACACCGCACACACACGCACAGAAGGGAGGGGATCGGATGGAGGGAATTAAACAATTAAGCTATCAGGAGCGAAGGTCTGAGCAGAGCTCGGGCTCGCCACGAAAAGCAAATTTCAGAGGGGGGAATATTGATCCCATCCGTCAATAGAGAGGCGCGATGTCTTTCCGTGTGAGAAATTGTTCTGAATTAGGGGGCTCGCTGGTGAAAGGGGAGGGGGCACAGGGAAAAAAAAAAAAAAAAGAGAGAGAAGAAAGGAAGAAGCAAATATTCATGCCCGCTCAAAGGGAGCCTCTTTCTAAAATCGCTGGAAGATCGCTCCTTTTGCCACCTACCCGAGTAACCACCAGAAATCCACCTCCGTTGAAGCGCTTACCCTTTAAATCCACGTTTCGAGCAGAACTCCAACTGTGTGTAAAGCCAGGGAGTCATCTGATGTGTGATGGGGAATGGGCTCTGGGCAGCAGAAAGCAGCTTTCTCTCCTGGTGCCGGATTACCATGTTAACAAACCCCGTGAAGGGACCCCGGCGCCTCTGGCTGGCCATGTCTCGTTGCTTTCACACATCGGCGGCTGCTCTTGCTTCCCATGTCCCCGGCGATCGCCTCTCAGATGAATGTGGGCTTCCAGAAAAGGAGTCGGGGGGAGAGAGGAGGAAAAAAAAAATCGCCTAATGCAATCAAATCGATCTGATCTACACCATCTGTCGCCTGCCACTACACACAAGCGTTAAAATAGGAAAACGGGAGACACTGACAGCTCAGGAAGGTTCTTCTGCAGAGTTCATTTTTAGCAGAGCATAATTGGGTATGGACAGCATACAGTTACCAATGCTGCTGTTAACCATCCAGTAGAGGATCCCGAACATGCTAATGGTGGATTAATTGAGGAAGATCTGACGTGCAAGCTTCATAGTCTCTTATTCATGACTTCCCAACGGGAAAGGACCAATGCCGTGTGGGACTATGGTAACACAGAGTCAAAGAGCTGCTAAGAAAATGGCTCTGTGTTCATAGCACCTCTCTCTGATAACAAACATATGTCGACCAGAACCGTTTAGCAAGATGGGGAAAATGAAATTTTCTTAGCCGAGGTTAGCAATTCCCATCGCTTGCACTTAAAGACAAGTGAAAAATGGACTGCGGGTCTAAAGCGCTTTCAAGTGCTGGTCTCAGGCTTTGCAGCTAGTGAAAGCAGACAGATCCTGCTCAGATGTGGGGTTAAACCCCAAATTTCTTACTTCTTACTGTCACCAAAGTGCATCCTTAGCAAAGCTCTAAACAAGTAGCTCTGCTAATTTCATCAGGAATGACGCAAGGTCGTGTTAATGCCAGGAACCCTTTTGACTTTTTCCAGTGGGAATGGGGCTTGGGCAAGACATTTCCGATCACTGAAATTTGACATAATCTCAGATAAATATGATTTGGGGGGGGCGGGGAGGGGAAGGGGGCGGCGAGTTGGGAAGAGACGGAGTATGCATCCAGACCTGCAATCACCCCTGCTGCCAACACTCCAATTCAGTCGCGTTTTCTAGTCTTTCTTGAATTATGAGGTTATAGAGCCTTATGTGTAATTATTAAAGCCATATATGTACACAAGTCACAGACGCCTACGGCAGCCGCGTCTACACACACCGACGGGGAGACAAAGTGCGCCCGTCGGGATGCTCTTTTCCACTCCCTGATGAATCCATTACCAGCGGGGAGAAGGACTGCTAGGGCAGGCGAAGGCGAGTGCTGATCCGCCCGCCCCAAGCGCAGGCGGAGGCTCCGGGCCGGGCCGCGCGGCTCGGGCAGGGCTGGGCCGGAGCTGTCCGCCCGCCCGGTGCTGAACGGGGCCCGGCCCCGCAGACAATGGCCCCTCTCAGCCGGGCAGGGCGCCGGGCGGCTGCCCCTCCTCCTACAAAGTCTGCGCGGTCGCCCTGACAATCGCTACAAAAATTAGGAAAGTTCCCCTTCGTTTCCATCTCTCCTGCCTGAGTCGCAAAGAATAATAACGCCAATAATACGAATCCAAGCAGCTGAATGTAAACGTTCCGGTAAACAATTATCATTTAGGGTAATTCTGGAGTCAACCCCATGATTCTCCTGGAAGTTTGTGTTAATATATTTAAAGAAATATAACAGTTATGAATTAGATTAGCCTTGAAAACGTAGCCTAAAGACAAATCAAACACTTTACCCGATCTTTTGTTTCAATATACATTAATTAAGCACTGCTGCCTACCTACACAGCATTCTCGGGTCCCGGCCGCGGCACCGAGCCAGCGAGCCCCGCTGCCTTTGTTGGCATTTGCGTCCAACTATTGCCCTCTGCAGGTCAAGTCCCAGCCGCGGCGAGCGCTCCGCCGCTGTCGAGCGCTCCGCGGACGGGAGCCGCCGGGCTCGGCGCCCCCGGGCCCCTCTTCGAGAAAGATCCAACTTTTGTCGCGTTTGGTTCTTCACCACGAGGGCTCAGACGTGTTTTCTTTAGGAGGGGCTACGAGTGGGGAGAGCCAGCACCAGCACTGCTCAGGCCGCCTTTAGCCTCCATTCCAGCCCTGGCCAGGAGACGAGAAGACTGGACAAGGCGAGGTGCCGCTCTGAAGACGGGTTGTTTTCTTTCTCCCCTTGTCTGCATAAGACTACGGCAAGCTTCCTAGGCAAACCCTGCTCTTACCCTGGGTTTGCAGAAAAAGCAGGAAGAACCCAGGATCAAACAGGATTGAGCGGGTGGCGACACTCAGGATCTCCCCGACTTCTCCAGTCGGGCAACTTTTCTTCGGGCACAACTTCAGAGTTTGCTTCTCTCACTCCTGATCGCAGGGAGACCTCACGGGAAGCCAGGCGGGCTGCGGCGGCGGCTGCGAGGGGGCAGCCCGGCAGCAGCCCCTCCTTCCGCCCCAGCCCCTCGCCCCCCAACGCAAAGGGATGCTTCCTGCTCCTGCGGGGACCGCGGGAACTTTGGGCACCGCCCGGTGCCTCTCCGGCAGTCACGCTCTGCCGTGCGCACGCACCGGCACCGCTTACGCGGTAACGAACAAAATGCTGTACCAGAATAAAAAAACCCAACCAGCCCAGTGTTACGGCGTTAGGGTTTTGCTACTTATAATTCAGGAGATTCAGTGCCTAATAAAATGTGCCGCTCCCTTTCTTTTTCCCATCACACCTACACACGGGTTTGTAAGGACTCGCTCTATTACCCTCTCTCCGCTTCCTGCCCGGGGTTAAGGCTGCGCACACGGGCTTCGGCATCCGCTCGGAGGGCAAGCCGCCGGCCCCCGCGGGCTGCCTGCGCCGCGCTGCCCAGCGCGCACGGCCGCCTGGCACCCCTCACATATGACAGTGTCTTCCCAGAGCCGCCGCGGGGCGGGGAGGGCGGCCGGGCTGCGGGGAGGCGGCGGACCCGGTCCCTGCCGCAGGCGGCCCGGGGAGGGGCAGCGGCCGCACACCCCGCGCTGCCGCAGAGGCGGACACGCGCCGGCCTTTTGTCTCCCGGCAGCCGCCGCCCATCCCGGCCGGTGCTGCCGCTCCGCCGGTCCCGCTTTCCCGGCCCCGAGCCGCGGCGGGCGGAAGCTGCGCGGGGGCGTTCTGGGCCCGGCCGGCCCGGGCCGCACCCGCGGAGCCGCGGCAGCGCCGCCTCGGCGGGGGCTGCGGGCAGGCGGGGGGAGGGCGCTGCCGGGGGCTGCCGGTGCCGGCGGAGCGGGGCCGGGCCGGGCCGGGCCGGGCCGTCCCCGGGCGCAGCCCGCCTGCGGGGCGGAGCGGGGCGGAGCGGCGGAGACCCCTGCTGGCCGCGCACGGGGCCGCAGCCGGGCGGGACCGGGGCCCGCCCCAGCAGCGCCCGCCCCGCCCGCCCCGCCCGGTGAGAGGCGGTGCCCCCGCCCGGGGTGACGGCAGGGGACGGGGGTGTGGGCGCAGGCAGGGCAAGGGAAGGAGGCGAGCCGGGTCGGCCGCGCCGTCCCGTGGCAGGACCCCGGCCGGGGGTGCGGGGCTGCGCCAGCATCTGCACTCTCCTGTTCCAGCAGCAGGAGCGGCCGCCTGCCCTCGGGAAGGAAGGCACTGAAGACACTGCCAGCGGGCTCTCGGCAGGCGTCCACTCCAGAGGGATGCGCCGTGGGGCTATTGTCCAGCCTCTGCACAGAGGCTTCAGCCGTTCTAGAAGAACGCTGTGTGTGCTGCCCTGCCACCTGCCCCTGCACGCCCCTGCCGCCACCTCGCTCTCCCATCCTCAGCAGCCAACACGAGGAGTTTCTAGTTCCGTGTTACCTTGACCTGTTCCAGGTATGCTCCTGCATCGGCTCTTGAAAGCCAGGAAGGATTACCTGGAAATGTTGAATAACACCTCAAATGCGAGGCTGGTGAGATAATCAGAGAATTGAAGAGGCTCTGAACTGAGGAGCCTAAAAAACAGAATACACAGGATGGAATTTGAGACAGAAGTAGCCAGTCACAATGTTTTTCCAGAACATCACCTGATGTTACATCCTGGTGGTGTCCTGGGGACACTGGACTTGCCTGGATGACAGACTGGTTCTCTGAGGCATGATACCCAGTTCACAAACTGATTGAGATCCATGTAAAAGCCCTTACTTTCTCTGGCCCTACTATTCCCCTTAGGAAACTGTTCCAGAATCTCATAATTTAGCTTAAAATTTCCAGGCTGTGTTTATTAGGGGCCCGTTTATATCCATTTCTTCGGATGCCAATTTTGTCCTTGAACTTAATTAGTTCTGATATTTACTCCCCTCACAGTGTACTAATATTCCTTCTCATAATTTCTTTTGTTTAAATCAAGCTTTTCAGTCTTGTCTCATAAAATAGAATCTTAATTTCCCTGATTATACCCATATCCTAGCAACTTATAAAAACTGGGTCATGACCAACACCCAGAAATTACGGTCTTCAAAAGGGTTCATTATTCTATCCATTTTCAGTTTGACCAAGACACAAGTAGGGAGAATGATTAGCATAAGGTCAGACAAACCACAATTCTCCTGACTTCAAGTTCTTTTGTAATCTATCAGGGACATGAGTTCTGAAAGGCTTGTGGTTTATAACTTGGCATTACATCAATGCACATTTATATATCTATATATCATTTTCTGGAGGGGAGGAATGGCCTTGTAGTTAAGAGGGTACATTAGAAATCTGGAGACATGGCTTCAAATGCCAGGTCTGCCATAGGCAACAGAGGTAACTTTAGCTAGTCCTTCAGTCTTTTGCCACATTTCACCACTTTTAAAATGGGGCAGCAATCTTCCTATTCTTGCCTCTTTTTATTTCCTGTATACTCACTGGCATCTTAAGGTCTCACCCCAAGCATCTCCTTTCTGGGTACTGCTGGTGCCTGGCACTTTGAAGTTGAAATGTTTCTGTAACTCTTAACCAGCAGTCAAAAACAGACAATACTCTTATAAAGTCTTTGGGCTTTAAGGCTCTCAGAAAAGCTGTTAGCATCCATGCTAGGGACTGGAATTCCTGAGGTCTTCAGCCCATTGATTACATTCAAAACACTCTCTGTCATTAAACTAAGCCCAGGGACCAGCAGTAAAGCCAGAGACATTTAATTGAAAATCTGCATCCTGTCTTCTGGTTTTCAAGTCTCTGCATGGTTGAAAACTGATTCAAACCTTTAAAAATTACTATTACTATTATTATCATTAACTAATTAATTTAAACATAGGTGCAGTTTAATGCATTTTCTCACCAGTTTTCAATTCAGAAGGCAATTTTTAACAGCTGATACTGCAAAGAAACAGAACTAGCTCGGGAAACCCCAACAGTCCCATAGCTGAAGTGGTTCTGGTAACAACAAATGCTATCATTGCTCTTCCCCAGCAATCCAAGTACGGAAGGTTGAGACTGAGCACAGAAACAGAGAGCACTCTGTTGAGCTGAGGTGAAGCAATGATATTTATGGGAGTAATTATCACAGAGAAAAACTGGAAAAATATGATTACAGCAAATTGTAACTCGCTCAGATATGTTCTTCGTTGTTAGAAATAGCTCAGCTGAGACCAAACCAATATGAACAACAGACTGGGAGTGTCAGACACTGATTCTCTGGAGGCTGATACCATCAGACCCTCTGAGCAGAACATCATCCAGCTTTAACATATTAGAGAGACTGGTGTCAGCAGCCCGCATCTCTTCCCAGCTATTGTACTCCAAGCAGCCTAACAAAATGCGAGCTGCTGGGCTCCACACTGAAAAAGCTGACCTGGAGATGCTGTCCCTAAAGACCACTGGCAAGCGAGGCATCTGTCTCTCAGAGCTGGGCAGGTCCCCTCCGCAGCAGCTGTGGCTGCTGAGTGCTGCTGAGCGGCCAGCAGAAGAGGCTCAGGTTTCAGAGTGCAGCAGTGTAGGTGAGCAGGGTGACACGGCCATGCACAACACCCACCTCTGAGCTGGCACTGCCTTCCCATTCGGTTCCTTTCTGGGCTTCCGCTGCTCTGTTTGACAAATTCGTGAAACCTTTGGAGAGCTTCTGCCGCGGGTGCAGCCATGGATTCGCCTCAGCGTGTGGGGAGCGAGGAGCACCCTGGCTGGAGGATGGGTTCTGCTGAAGGAACTTCAACTGCCCAAAACCTGTGACGGGGTGTTGAGTCTCAAAGACCTTAGAGAAAATGAACTATAAACTCTGCAAGCTTGGAAGCTTGTGTTGAAGGAGAGGACATAGCTAGGAAAAGGAACCTTCAGAAGCTGTGATTGCTCTGCTGTGTTCTGTGAGACCTGTGTGCAGAAGGGTCTGAACACAGCTTGTTCAGACTTTGTCCCTTCATATTCATGTGAAGTCCTTCACATTCATGTGCAAGTCATCTGCACCACGGTAAATGTCTTGCCAAGTCAATTATACCAGGGGAGGTACTTTCACCACACTTTCATGGCTGAGTATTTTACACATTTCATGCAACTAATATCTTACAACTGACGGTTAGAAATTTTTAGAAGAAATAACCAGTGTTGTGTAAAACCAAAAAATATCACTTAAAGTAGTCAACTGTTAAATGTACCTACCGCAGGGACCAGATGCATCAAAGTAGTTCTTCAGGTGTCTTGAGAGCTCCGTAGGTGTTATTGCTGCTCTCAGTCTGTGAGAAGAATTATAAATGCTATTTACCTTTTAATTAAAAAAAATACCTTGCAAATTAAACACATGCTCTTGCACATCAAAATTTAGTTAGCATCTATTTTTGTTGTGCAGACTATGGCTAACAACCTATTGAGCCCACAGCCATCTGAACACACATTGCAGCTTCCCTTTTCCCCTACATTTTGGGCATCGTGTGTTCGATTTTGTCACATGCGAGGGGGAAAAAATTCTGTGACTGACTGCTAATACTTAAGCAGATCTCCTGCTTAATATTCCTTCTGCTTACAAATCCCTCTAAATATATTGGTGTGTCCTGACAAAGGGAGAGGAGCAGTTTTGGACACTTGTGTGACATACGTCTTACTATCTTACGTAGAAAATTTGACAGTGAATGACAGAACACCTTAGAGGGATCTAAGAAGATGATAAAGGCAACAGCTTTCACATGAATACAGAGTCTAGTTCTTAACAGTTACAAGCTTTTTTTACATGCATCCTTGTAATTTGACATTTATAATTCACTGTAGTGCTGAATCTCTGTCATTTTCTCACCGTCAGGTTCTCTATACGTGGATGTACATGTCCCTTCTAATTAGTATACCTATTTTAACATTTAATCTCATCTCTCAACCTTATTATGCAGTTGCATATTGATCTGTTATGTATCAACAAATGCTTTTGGTAGAACATATACAGTTCTATGTTACTTCCCTCCCAGAACAGGTGCCTTTATCTTCTCTTTTCCTGGTTGTAAACCCATTTTGTAAAAAAAGCACAGTAATTCACAATGGATGTAATAATGAGTAAAAATAAATATCCTGCAATCCTGCAGAGAAACATTAATCCTTGAGATTATATACACACACACACACAGAGTGAATCTTTTACTGTGCATAGCATCTTCCTCGTAGGGAACACCTAAGACCTTTTCCTAAGTGCTGATGCCTTTGCAACACTGATAAACATTAGACCTATTTTATCCTTGGAGAAGCAGTACAGCAATATTGCAGAACTTGCTCAAGGTAAGCAAAGAAGACAGCGAGACAGCTGCAGACAGAGCAAGCCCCGAGGTCTCAGCTCCTGACCTGAAGCCCACTGGAAAACACAATCAATATGAAAATCAGGTTGCATCTGCAGGCCCCTGTCGCAGGACTGACTTTTCACTGCTCACTCATCATTTTGCATTAGCAACTTGGGTGGTGCCATGCCATCACCTGATATTCCTGTTTATTAGTTAACTTAGTTGAGATTTAATTCAATTGAAATGAAACCTTTTCTGTGTCACGTTAAAACAGGCAATGAAGGACACACCTTTTATTAACAGTCATACTGAAACTGAAGCCAAATAAAGGATTTATTTTTATGTTTTAAATACTATGGCTTTGTATTTGAAATACGGGATATTCAAGTGGTTGTACTGCTTAGAGCACAGAATTAAAACTTCCCTTCTACTGGTATTTAAAAAGATATCTGAGGGAAGAATTCAAAGCAAACTTTTTACAGCTTTCAGCTGATCAGGAAAACATGTATTATATACAAATACTGAAAACCATTTTAAATGCTCTTAATGTAACTTGTGGATTTGACAGATAACAGGTTTACAATGAAAAGAAAACAAAAGCCAGTAGCAGATCAGAAGAACTTGCCCATATAGTTTGGAACAGTATACAATGGAGATAAAGACTATTTTAAAGAAAAAGAGAGCAGGCACATGCCTGTCAGTCTGTTGTTCGTACTGTTCAGTGGAAGAGCTGGGAGTGTTAGAAGCAACCAACTCTGTCCTGACAGCTTCAGACTGGGAACCCAGGGCAGATCCTGCACCCCCTCCTCTAAAGGTTTCCTATTTAGTCATGCAGTATTTTCAATGGGGAAGGAAATCTGCTCAGGACACTACTTTCACAAATATTGATCTTTACTTCTGCTGATGCATAAACCAGATGTAAGCAGCACAAGAGAGATTTTGTTAATGTACTTTTTTTTTCCTTGAGCCTAATTATTGATTTGCAAAGTTTCACTTGGTTTTCACAAGTATAATACAAGAAATGGAAGAAACTAAGTTTTTTTTTTGCAGCTCTCTAGTCTGAGCATCTTTTTCAAATGACCTTGATGGTGCTGGTTGGCAGTTTATCTCTTTATATGGCTTAAAATGTCTTCTAAAATACAGCCCTAGTAGCACCTAATAAAAAAATTATTCTTATGAAGAGGTGCCCTGGAAAATATAAATAGCATCAAATAGCATCTAAATAGTCCTAAATACAGAATGGAAAGCAAGTGATTAATGTATTCATTTTAAATTTAGAAGAAAATATATGCATCATATTTTATATTTATATTTTCACTGTGCTTATATACATATATATATGTTAATCTTTAAGAATCACACTAGAAATCTCTTCTTTCCTTTAATATCTGACTAGGGAAAAATTCCTATTCAGTCAGTGAAGTTTTTCAGTAAGCAGAAAATTATTAGGGATTTTAGAATACGTTGCCGGGGTCAGAAGTGTCTTTGGAAACAAGTCAAGTCTGTGAATTTTTAGGATTTTTTCCACAGCAGCTGAATATAAATTGGAGGGCTTACAAATCCAAGAAGAACAATGCATTGCCACAGCCTTACTCACAGAAAGCCATGGAATAGTCCCAAAGAAACAGCCAGAAACACTATAGCTTCATTGCAAAAGTTTGTGTACCTTAAAAAGTAAGGTAAATTTTTTTTAATGAATGTAAAATACAGTTTTTCTTTTAAGATAATCTGTTTTCTGATTAAGAGTTCTCTTGGCCCCAAGTCCCTGTTTTGCTGACTTTTTTGCTTGGTCAGGCTTCCTATTGCCATTTCTGAGATCTGGGAGTGTGAATCTCCACTTCCAGCATCCTTAAATGCAGAGTTCTTGCAGCATTTTGTAAGCCTAAATTAGGCCACACAACAAAATTACCTCTCAAGTTCTGCTTTATGGCAGAGAATCTGTGCTTTGCCCTGAGGCAGGTGGGCTTCCCCCCGGGGATCAAACAGCCAGGCTTCTCAGAGCCCATGCCTTAGCTTAGGTCTGCAGTAAAATGAAGTGCACTTTGTACTTGAGAACATTTACATACAGCATACGAGAAGTGCTGCAAGAGAAAGTTCAGAAGTGTGAGCCAATGTATCATTCTCTTTCATATATATCTCTCTCCTATTTTCTCATCCTATTACTTCAGATCAGCTCTAATCTCATATCTAAACAGTCAGTCCAAAGGGAAAGTGCCTATTTACAGGCTGGATTAAGAGCTTTAACAAAAGGCAAGGCAGAAAACCATTCATTTACTATATAAGAAAAAGAATGTCTTTGTATTTTATCACTTGCCAGCATCTTCCAAACCTTTCCTTTGTGTTGCTCCCCTTCCAAACAGAAAGTAGATTGGGAAGTTCCTGTCTTGCAGAAAGAGAAGAAGCATATTGTTCAACTTTCCCTTTTTGCCTCTAATAGGTTTACTTTTGCTTCACCCCTCAGGGCTCCCGCATATGTGCTCAGCTGAAACCCCTGAAAGTTGCTGCCTTGTTAGACCTTTTCCCAAAACTTTCCTTAAGAAGCAGGCATTTGGAGGAGAACAAGAATGGAAGATGAGTGAAGTGTTGGAGGGAGGGAAGATGGAGTTCCTTAGCCACCCAAGGACCAGTCCCTGTCCAGAGCACAGGCAAAGGGAGAAGATGCCCCAACCACTGGTGGAGGGGACAGGCAGTGGGCAGAGAAACACATGGCACAGCAAGAGAGAATGAAGCAGGCTGAGTCCCGAAGGGATAACATAACCCATGGGGTGAGCATGGAGGGGAGCAGAGAGCTTCTTCTCTCAGGAAGCCCCTACACAGCACATCCTGCCAGGGCCTCCTCAAACAAGCACGGCAAGTCTCCAGGGGTGTAGCAAGAGAGGGGTGAAAAAGGATTGCTCCATCATGGATTATTTATCTAGGGGGACAAGCTAAGATAGAAAACAATTAAGGGTTAGTTTAGGATAATCAAAACTTTCAATTTTTGAGATAGCTAAATGTTCGCTTTAATTTCTTTTTCAATCTGTTTGCTATAACACTTTTTGAAACAAAATCCATAATTTTCAAATCGTTGAAGTAGAAAATTTGTAATTATTCATGAAAAGAAAACCCCTATTTTTTTTTTTTAAATAAAGAAGAACCAGACTTTCTTGATAAAACAGAAGTCAGAAATAAGAAAGGATGAAGTTAAAAAAAATTCCCAATGATACACCTGAATTGAGAAAAACTGAAGGCAGGCAGAACAGAGTGGAGCCAGGGCAAAGCATTACTTTCTGAATCTTTACTCGGGCTCATACCCCCAGTCTGGCTCAGATTTGTAAGGTTTAATCTGGGTGAGTTTATAAACTCAAACTTCTCCTTAATGTTTACTCCTTGCAACTTGCCCCAAGCCTGCCTGCAGCTTGCTGGGCTGTGCTAGGGGCTCCACCCTCCAGCCCCAAATGCTGCCTGGGCATCAGGGCCCTTTGCCAGCACAGCCCTGGCAGGCCCTGCAACCCCTCATTTTTTGTACATACTCCTGTGTCTCCTCAGAGCTCCAGTTCATGGCTCCCTTCCTCAACCCCAGCATGTTTCTTCACCTTCTGCTAAATTTCCTCTGCTCCAAACTCCACCTTGGCAGGTGGACTCAGGCAAAGTAATTCCCTACCTAATGGCCTCTTCGGTGTGTGTATTAACCCAAATCACCTGCCTGAGCCACCCAGGGTGAATGATCCCTCATTACCTCTGCTCTGGGAGATGCATAACACCATCCTGAAAGCTCAGGGTGGGTTTCATCTCTACAGACACTTCTGTGATAAAACAATTAATCATGTCAACCAGCATTTTGCATTAGAACATCAGTGTGGGCAGCATATTTTTAATAGCGTTCATTTCTCATCAGTGCCTGTTTGGTTATCTTATATTCTCAAAATTAACTGAATTACCAGTTTCAGAGACTGAAGAGGATTTCTTCCATGTTCTTCCATTTTTCTTCAATTCATCACAACATTGGCAGGGATTCTTGAGGCATTTTGTTCTTATCTCAAATATGACACTTCAGAAAACTTTATTTAAGAGAATCCCTACCCTAGCATGTGGATACTGACCTTGTTGCCACCTAACCTCTTTCAATGGCTTCTTACTGTTGTGGCATTTGATCTCTTGTTCTTTATCTCATTAGCTATGAGGCTCAGAGATGTCTTGGAAGGCACATAGTATGAGGTGTGGTGTACAGCACATACTCAGCAGAAGAACACACTTGACTGCAGCAGGAGGGAACTGGCTTAGATGGCCAAATTGGTCTCTTCCCAAAAGAACTTCCCAAGGGCCTCTCCCATCTTCTGCTAGAGCTGATGCAACACCTCTGGCTTATTCCAGTGGGTGTTATTCCAATCCACGATTAAAGCACATACTTCCTTCTTCTTTCTTCCATTCATGCATGAAGAGGCACATGACCAATGGGAGCTCCTTCCCCAAAAACAATAAGAGAAATCCTTAATTTTATCGTGTTTTCCCCCTCAACGCACGTCGCTTCTCTTTTGCCTTTCTTAAGTCACTTTGCTTTTTGCAAAACAAGAGGACTCATCACAGCTTTTAAGTGGTCATAGGCACTGCAATAAAAGGTAGAGCATTCCAATTAAATCAGTACTAGAGTGAGGAACGAATACAATCTACCCAGCAAATACTTTATCGTGAAAATTATTAAAATTCATAGCTTAGAGGTGTGAATGCTTCTTTAAGAAAGGTACTTATGTTATCCCTAAAATAGCACCAGTATCATGTGATGTTCCAGTTGCTATGGTTACCACAAATTTGTTATTTAATAGCAAAGAAAATAGATGCACAAAACATGCTAATTATAACTGGTACAAATTTTTCTAAATGTTTTATATGAATATGCATGCATGTTTTATGCATAAGGAATAGGAATGCCCTTTTTCAAATAATTCTTCAAGTTTTTAGAAGCATTTTAGTAACTGGCAGGGAAGTACATTGTGTGGTTCTCAGCAGCAAAGAAAAAGAAGTCTGAAAAACTGAAGATGGGCACTTTGGCTTAAACCATGCAGTTTTGTATTCAAATAGCAAAAGAATCCTTAAAATACAAGAGTTTTACATTTGTTGAACCTTGTACACAAGGTACAACTGAATTTGCTTTGTTTCTTCTTCATTGCAAAGAGATTGAAGTGCCTGAGAAACAGCTGCAGGACCATTTGAAGTGAAGTTGCATTTTATGAAATTGTAACATTAATATAACCCTGATACAGAAACCAAAGTGCTCCAGTCACTGCCAGAATCGATACTGCTCAATAAAAGTACAGCCTCGCTCTGCCTGGAGCTCCTGGGCTCCCACCTGTGTGCAGCAGAGCACTGGCTCCACAGGCTGGTCCCTGCTGCTCCTGCTGGTGCTGTCTCACAGCAGGATGCACCTCAGTGTGCCCCACTGCTGCAAGCTCCTGCTGCAGGGCCCAGGGGGGCTGGGAGCTCAGGTAGCACTTGGCAGAAGCACAGGCTGTGAGCACAGCATGGAAAGATGCTATGGACTTGTATCTATTGCAAGGAGAAGTACATGGGCTGGCTTTTGTTGTGCAGAGGAGAGATGGAAGGGATATGTACGCAAACAGATCTCGTATAATTCCCCTTTCCTTTCTGTTCTCCACCAGATGCTCCCAGAGGTAAGTCTGGGGGATACAATGCATGCAGTACTTTAAGTGCTGGAACTGTAAAACTCACCAGCCTGGCAGGGTCCTGGGGAGGAGCAAGAGAAATCTCATTCCTTTCCTTGGGTAGTCTGTGACCATGGTGAAAAAACTCTCAAGCCTAAACAAAACAAAGATATGATTGTGAGTCGTGGGAAGAAAGTAACTGGCTCACGGCTGGTGCAGGAAAGCTGCTGGCAGTGGCACCGTGTGCAGAGCCAGATGTTATTCAGGGCTCTGCTGGCCACTCATCCAAATTCCCACCTCTTCCCAGAGAGAGGAAGGTGGTGCACATGCCTTAGGGGCAGCGGTGTCATATGGCAGACTCTGCCGCACTCGGGGGTCATTGCTGAAAATGTCACCACTGTCACTTGAAATCAAACCCTCTCCTCTCATAGTGGCTTTTATCTCTTCCCTTACGAGGCCATACCAGCCGTGGGCAGAATTAAAGTTGTGTGCATGCATTTGCTGCCAAATGGCTGCACTTAATGGCACCGGTACCGAGGGCACTTACTGATGCTGCCGGTTGCTCCCTTTCACACCCAGAGCACATGCTAGCTGGCTGCTGTATTTCAGATGTTGTAGTGTCAGTGATACCGACTGAAAAATCTTCTCTGTGGCTTGCTGTCATGCTGTGATTGATATCAGCTGTAACAAGAAAAAATGTTATGGCACTGTAATTCTGCTTGATGCAAGGTAGTCTTTGATCTTTACCATTTTGCAAAGATTATAATATACTCTTAGTTTGATAAATAATACCCTTTCACCAGAGTCGTGTAAAGTGGAAGAAAAATTGGCAACTAAACTTTTGAAACTTCTCTGGTGCAGGTGTTGATGTTTTCAAAGCAAAAGGTTAAATAACAGGATAAAACCCCACTTGCCTACTTATAAGACTAGTAAGAACTTACCAGACCAGTCCTTTTGGGATGGTTTCTGTGCTTGCATGTGCATCACAGCAGCAGCAGGGCACCAGCTCCTGGCACAGACACTGCAGCCAGGAGAGCAGTGAGAGAGCTGGATGGTGCTGGGCCAGCTGTGACTCCCAGCCTCACAAAGAATCAGAGAGGAATATTCACACTGGAATATTCTCTGTAGAGAAATTCACCCAGAGAAATTCAGAGCTGTGGGACCCACACAAATAACAATGCTCACTCACTCATCTGGCTATGGAATGGACCCTCAGACAGAGATGGAGGCTTTGCTTTTCCAGCCCCTGAGGACAAGCAACAGACAGCATATGACATCCCCAAAGTATTTTCTTCAAATTAGAGCTCTTTAGGTGAGTTGGGACTTAGGTTTCCAAGTGTCTTTCTAAAGATTCTAAAATATATTGGGTTTTTTTCTGCTTTTTAATTTGAATGGTTATTTGGATGTGGCAAAAATGAGCAAAGCCCAGCGCCATAGCCATGAGAAAGTGTTCTCATCAGGTAATCATTTATTAAAACATTTTAACCAGCTGGTATGAATATGATTGTCAGTGCAAAATGACAGGGAAATATGTGCTCCCATCTGCACTACCAAGCCAGGAAACATTCCAGTGTAGGAGTTTTTCTTCATTATCATTTCGCTTCCACACCCAGGATAGTGCACCTGAGCATGACCCCTTCCTTGGTGGGGCCTTGGGATGGGAGCAGAAGCCTGAAAGGGGAGATGCAGCCCCACACACAAAGCCTTGTGGCTGTTTACTGCTCTGGGCTGCTCATCTCAGACCACAACCTCACACAGCCTGGGGGCAAGTGCAGTTTTATTTCACCCAAAGGTGGACAGCTCTTCATGCAAACCTGTTTACAGCTGAGCTCAGATTTCCAGCAGGGGTTTGCCAGGGCTGTCTCAAAGGAATGGGCACGTTGGCAATCAGATTTTGCATCCGATGGTACTCTGCCAAATCCATGAGAGATTTTGCATGGCAAGAACAGGGTGTAACTCCAAGGCCATGATTATTTTCCATGTAAATGTCTGTTTCAGTTTGTGCTTAAATGATTATCTGTCATTGATTTGTGTGCCTAACTACAACTGCTTCAAGCTGTTTTCAATTATTCTGTTCTCAATACGATGCGATCCCAAGGATTAGCCATACCGAGTGCCACAAACCACCTTGCAGCAACAGAGTCATAAACTGAAGAGGATAGAAAGGATTTTAATAGGAGATTAAAAGGAAAAAGTGACTCACTGGATGAGAGAAAAGAGGGAGTGCGCAGGCTTTGACTGCAGGAGAGCTGCTTTGTGATGCCTCTGAGTGCACCGAGGACCCCAGGTTAATATAATAATTCTTCTTTCCTTATCACGCAGGTCTCGGGTAATGATTTCATAATTAGGGGTGTATTTAAAAACAGGTTTTAAATGAAGCATGTGTTCTGTCTTTGCACTAAGAGGAGGTAGCTAGTTGCAGAGTAACATTGCACACGGCTTGCTTCCTTGCCTGCTGAATTCTCTGCAAATTTTATGCTTCTTTTTCTGTCTTTCTAATTGAAAACTTGCACTTTTGGAGAGAAACTGTATTTCTCCTTGGCAGTCTTCTCTTTCACCAAGATTGATATTTTAAGAGTAAACAACATTCATCTACACCAAATCATGTGTCCTCTGGAGGGGGTAACCTGCATTCTCCCAGACCTAGCACCTAGGTAATACACAACACTGCTGCCAACAGCTACTCCAAGGTTTATCAGCTAGGATTGGTAACACACTCCTACAGCAATCAGGATTTCAAAGTGCTCCAGTGTTTCCCTTTACATATACTAGGAAATCTTCATATACTTGGGCTAAGATCCTAATTGTCACTGAGTAATTACCTACCTACACTCCTGCAGTAGCCATTTGTGATAGTATCCATCAGCTGGGAAAATGTAACTGTTACTGAATTTCTAAGAACAGCCATTAATATTCTAACTTTCAACCAATTTAAATGTTTGAACTTTCTGAGTGCACAGTTGAGATGAATAACATGGAGAAGCACACTCAGATTAAATCTTATATGGACTCTATCAATAGAGAGTGTAGAAAGAGAAGTTATTTGTCTGACATACAAATATATATATATATTTGCAGCAGATAAAATCAAATGTGTTATCACTATCTGCACTCTGCTATGTATATTTTAAAACATTATGAGTGGATAGGTACACATACAGTAGTAGTTTACAAGAGATAAGCATCATTAATTTCCACACAGCTATATGTTTTCATGGGCTTCTTAACCTTTTAATATTAAGTAAAATAGCAACTACAGCACTATTTTATATCCTTGGGAATATCACGGTTTTGAAACATTTCTGTTTAAAATACAGAAAATGCCACTGCAGTAAAGATTTGGAAAGCGAGGTACGTGGCATAGGGAGTTGGGGATTGGATTCCCAGCTGATTTTCAGGACTTGCTTGATCTGAATTGATTGAAGCCCCAGAAGGAGGCACAGTGCCAGCAAGAAGAGAGGTGCCTGCAGAGCAGGATGCTGGACCCAATGCCACCTGCCAGGCTGCCCTGGCAGAGGCTTCCTACCTGACCAGAGTTTCTGGACATCAGGAAATCTGGTGACAATGTAGAGGGATAACTTCTTCTGGAGACAGCTGTCTCACCTTGTATGAGAAACTATTTTTCCAGGCCAACATTCAAAAAGCTGTCAGATCACTTTAATCTGTTGAAATTTGAGCAAATTCAAATAAAATATGCCAGTATCCAAAGCAAAGCCAAGCTCTAAATGCCCCAGTACTGAATCTATGAGATCAATAAAAACAACAGGGATGTCTGCAGTAGCTTTTTCAGAACACGAACTAGTTGGCTCTAAATAAAGCTTTTGTATAACTAGACTTTTCCCATGGTACACCATATTCTTGTAATCAGTCTTCAATCTCTTCTCTAACTTTTAAGAATGATAAGATGCAATGAAATTTGCCCAAATAAAGAAAAAAAAAAAAAAAAGAAAAAAAAAGAAAAAAAAGAGTATGCACAAAAGACCAATCATCCCCATGGGGCAGTGGTGGAAAACAGTGTAAAACAGGATGTCTGATCTTATTGCAGTATCATAGGGGGAGAGAATGATTATTTTCCAAAAAAGAAAGGTAGCCAGCTGAATCTCAGTTTTCCTGGCGAGGTTCAACACACTACTTTTAAAATGAAAAGGAAAATGGTCTGAATAGAAACAATTAGTTGAAGTGGCATGGTAAATAGCTCAGGTACATGTTGGAAATCCACCTGCAAAAGTATTTTAGAACCTATCAAGCTATGCTCTTTAACCTTCCATACAGCAGGATTGCATCTTTTGTGTCTCAAAGTTCTCACTGACAATTACCGTTTAAAAGAAATTGCCTCATTTTTACACAGTCTGAAGTGTACATTGGTAAAGAAGAATTTCCTGAATGCAGGTAAGTGAGCCCAGAGTTGTTTTGACATGACTCAAAGGCTGTTACAGATGTAACAAAAGGAGATGAAGAGATTTGTCTTACCTTGTGACTTGTACTTGCTTATTAAGACACACAGCAGAAAACCTCAGAGGCAGCAAGGTGCTGGGGACCACAGCAGGCAGCAGAGGGGCAAACACACCCTCAAGGAAAGGGATTAGAAACACCTCTCTGAAAGGACCCAGGGGTGTGTATGTACAGTGAGTGAATCAAACCTCCGAGTACCCAGCTCACTTCTGCACTGAGAGAAAGCTCCCGACACCAAAACGTGACTAAACACTGAAAGAGATGAGAGACAGCAAGAGGAAATAGAAAGAGATGGGATGCTCCTGCTGCTAGGGGCAGCCCCAAGCTGCTTCAGCTGTGGCTCTTGCTTATGCAAAGCTTGCAGGATGTGCACGAGGAGGCTGGTGGAAAGATGGGGACGAGGGAACATGTCTGTTTGCTGCAGCACCTGAAGTGCACCAGTAGATACAGCAATGCTTCGGTAAAGACAGACATAGGGCACAGCCTGCAGTTCAGCAGCCTGAAATACCACTGTGAAGAGACAGCAAAAAAAAAAAAGAATGGTCAAAGCACTATCACTTGTCTGTTCTCCACAGCAATGGCAATGTTTTGGGTACTGCCAAGGTCTCCCCAGTAAATGCCCCTCAGGAGGCAGGAATACCGACTGCGCTGGCAGGGCTGGCTCCTGTCCTTAAATAACACAGCTATGGGAGTACTTTGAATTGTCATATTTACCAGAAATGTCTCAGACTGATGCCCAGATATAGATATTTCATGAGAATTTGGCATTTGCTTGAGAAAACTCTTGAATTGAACAAGCAATTTATAAAGCAAAACTTTTTTTTTTTTTTTGTCTGAGTGCCTCGTCATTGGAAAGCAATAGAGAGCCCTCACCTTATCACAGAGCTCCCCTTCAGTCACAGCCCTGGGGCTAGTAGATAGCTCATTCCTGTGATATACTTTAACAGGTGCCATTCCTTTTTAATAAGTCCAAACAAAACAGTTAATAAATCCAAAGAGCTTCCTATCAGTATATCTCTAATTCTTGGCTTTCACTTCTTCAGCAGTGCTGATCATCTTCTTGAAACTAATGGCATTCTCATAACTCTCTTGAAATAATGATCTGTGTTTCAGGCTTTGATTCAACACTGACGCGACTTTTCTGCATGTTTGGCTGCTCAGCGTCTGCCGCTGAGTCACATCTGATTTACACTTGAGATAAACGACATCATCCAGGGTAGCCTCTGACTCTGACAGGAGCACCCACTAATCCACATTGCCAACAGGGTTTTCTATCACCATCAGTCTGGAGCACGCCAGCCCAGCTTTGGTCTCCATGGAGATTGTTATGAAATATATTAATCTATCATCTGTTGGTTCCCAAAAGGATCTTTGGGAGTTTAGCACCTCCATGGACCTCACACTCCCTGAAAGAGGCACTATGGATTTCTCAGGCTGTGGATTTCTCAGCAGGAACAGGGAGGACTCTAAGAGAAGTGGTCACCTTTGCCATGGCTTAGGGGAAATTTCTGTGAGAATATAGCTCTTCCCTGTGTGTACAGTGAATATATCTTTTACAGTATTTTTTCCTTTTTTTTTTTTTTTTTTTTTTTTTTTTTGTTGGCAGTCCTTAGCACTTTTCTCCTCCCACTTTCTGGTGATATTGCAAAATATCCACACTAAAGTGCATTCGGTTAGCAAAGTAAAATGGAAAAATGGTGTATTTTAGGTGGAAATGTAAATGATATATTTGCAAAACCCAGAACCTGAACAACTGTTCATGGGAAAGGCAGTTATTTCACACCCACTGTAAATGAGAGCATTGTCAGGTATCAAAATGTGCCAGAATAGAAAGAATTAAAAAAAAAAACCAAAACCAAAAACAAACAAACAAACAAAAACAAACAAAAAACCAAACCAAAAATAACCAAACAAAAAACAAACAAAAAACCAAAAAACCCCCCAAAAAACCCCCAAAAAGGACCCCCCCCCCAAAAAAAACTCCAAACAAACAAACAAACAAAAAACCCCACCAAAAAAACCCCTAAAAAAGTCAGTTGAAATTTAACAGTGCAAACCTGAGATTTCCCGAAGAGGTTGTAGTGTCATGCTAGCAGCAGCTGTGGCTTGCACTAGCTGGATCACAGAGAGCCCCTGTAATCACCCTTTGTAGGACCACCACCAACTGTGGCATTGGCCTGACTGGACCTTTCCATCACAGCAATGTCCTCTCAACTTTAAATTCAGGTTTTGTTAGAGAGTTTGGTATTGAATTTTGAAACTCACAGCATCTGAGGGGCTGGGCCAGGGAGGCTTCTGACACACCTTATGTGATGAATAAGTTCCCACAACATATTCTGCAAATTATGCAATATAATAGCTGAACTTTACTGTGATTTCACTTTATATACAATGTATCTTATCTTAAAGATGAAAAATTAATAGTTAAAATCCTATTCTCTAGATCAAAGCATCTCTTTGTTGTTTGTAATAAAACACTTTGACTCTTACCTAGGTTTTCTGTTCAGACTGTCCAAGAATTCAAGTGTTTCATTATAACAGAAGTGGGAGATGCTTTGATCTAGAGGAGGCTTCAGATATTTGCTTAATAGCTATCAAAGCTAATTATTCAAATAAAAATAATAATATAGAAGTTAAGGATAATAAAACAGTAGAATATTAAGTAAGTAATAAAAGGGCCTGTGTTGATAAATACCTTGCCATATTCTCACACTAATAATATTAATGAAGAGTAACTGCTTATATTATTGTAATGTGTACAAGTATAATGGATTGTACCCCATGAGACCTGATTGTGGGCTGAACCTTAAACTATTAGGCAAAAGAGAAAGATGCTCCTAAAGCCTTACAACATGAGGCAAGAGACAGAAGTGGGGCATAGCAAATAAATGGTGTCATACACAGGGAAACAGGATGATAGTGAGCAATGGGACAGGCAGCAAAAGAAGAGCTCAGCTTTAGTCAGGAAAAGAGGACCTGGAAACTTTCACTGTGGGATGGGCAGGAGGATGCAAGGTGGCTGCTTGCAGGATGGTCCCCTCAAAAGTGGGAGGAGCTGGGGGTGCAAGTCTGAGCCCCCAGCATGAGGGCAAATGGAGCTGGCATCAGGGTCACCCCACCTGGCAGTACTTAGCAGCTGTTGATAACTGGATCCATACTGTGATAAAGCATGAAAATGAGGACAAATAGGTAACTTTTGGTGCAATGAAAGAGGAGAGGGAAGAAGAATGGATATAAAAATGGGATATTGATGGCTTAAGAAAATAGCACTGACAGTGTCATTTTAAGTGGGCACCAAAAGACCTATGTTGCATTTGTCAAGGCTGGATAAAAAATGTGTTGCACTAATTGAGGCACAGAAGATGCTAGACAAGGGCCTCAGTGGTGGGGATGGTCAGGAAAGGCAACACCTTAGCAATGCTAAGAAGGAGGGATTATGTCATATCCTGGATGTGAGGACCTGAGAAAGGATTTGAGTCAAAGATGACACACAAATTATGGGCCTGAGTGACAAGCAGGATGGTGAGGTTGTCTGCTGTGATCAAAGAGGGGACTAGCAGGGAAGGCATGAATTGGGGAAGATTAAAACTTCTGTCTCTTCCCCATTGGGCTTGAGTTGACAGACTGTCGTCTACATGAAATGAGAGGGAAACAAGCCCAGAGATGAGGCTGGACTGAGGAGACAGGTTGGGAGCACACAGGTAGATCTGCAAGTTAGCTGTGCAAGGACAGTAGCTTATGGTTGGCTTGCAGATTAAATTATCCAGAGATGCAGGAAGGTGCAGAGAAGGCAAATAGGACTAGGTTCTGTAAGATGAGCACAGAAGATGATAATGCTAGTGACATAGCATAAAATGACACTGAAACAATAAATACATGAATAATTTAATTCCAAAAGTGCTTTTCATTTTTATCTAATTTTTCCAAATAGAATTTTCCAAAGGTTCATTTGAAAAATACCCTTTTTTTTTGGAAGAAAATGTCATCAAAATTAACATGATTTCATGAATATGTCAATTTTGACCAAAAATCTTATTTTGCAGTGGAAAAATGTTTCAACAAGGAAAAAAAACCCCAAAATTCAGAGCTGTTTGCTTTTAGCTCTAAACATAGATCCTACTACTGTCAAGTAACATCTTTCATTATCTTCTTTATGTCTCAAACCACATTAAAGAGTCTAGAGGTTTTGCTGATTCTGTTGTAATCAATCCTGTCACAGCTGTTATTGGATTTATCTCGGGATCTGAACACAGGCATTTTTCATTGTTGTTTTACATTTTCTTTATGACTGCACAGCTATACAATCAAGAGTAAAAAAAAAATCTAAAATATGCTAAAGTGAACAAATATATTCAATTACTATAAAATTATCTATAAAGCTTTCTTGGGCCCAAATAAGCATCAATAATTTATTTACTGGACTTTAATGAAATGCAGGTCAATCCAGGTATGAATTAATTTTAAAATTATATCCAAGTAAAGTGGGCTTATACTTACTTGGCTTCATTTGGTATAGAAGTTACTTTATTTATCAAAATAATAACACGCGAGAATGGCAGAGCCAAGTAACACCATGAATGAAATCAGGCAAGATTCTTACACTGCAGAAACACCCCACCAAACCCGAGTGTCACATGTGCCTCAGCCTTTCAGAGCCCTATATAAAACTGCTCAGCTGATGCACAGCACTGCTTATAAATCATGCATACATCTTGTAGGCTTCAGTGCAGTATGGACAATAAAAGGAAATTAAGATGCTTAATGAGGTGAGATGCTTCTATAAACTGGTGTCTGTCTTTCCTTATTTCTCACAATCTTTAGGATATAATTTTCTTTCTTTTTTTCCTATCTTTCATCATTTCTGACTACCAAGTATCCCAGGTTTTCCTACCAAAGGATATGATTAGTTTCAGCATTAGGCATATACAAAAGATCCATCTTCCCATTTCAGGTAGTATATGTGCCCTTTCATAACATTATCAGCCCCCCTGTATGTGTTAGACAGTTTTGCATAGGCTGTCTCTACTACTGCTGTGCTATTTCCCCAAAGCATAGACATTCCCCGACCAAAGCTGCCCTCCCTGCACGCAGGGGACAGAAGCTGATGTGCCTGGCATTGCCTGTGGCCTGCTGCCCCTCATTGCCTGTGTGCCATTAGATGGAGTCACATATAATGTCATGTCAGTTGCGTCATTAATAAAATGACAAAATAAAACTTGAATTACCACTCTCGGATGTGGTTTACTGGAGCATTAATACATTTCTTGGGCTACTGAAGTCATTCAGCCTTTGCAGTCACGGCTCACAATGCACCCGATGTATTATTAATGTCCCAGTAAAGCACACCCTGTTGTGTCTTAATGCTGTGGCATAAGATGCCTGGAAAAGTAAACAGCTATGTAAAGCAGAGAGCGATGGCTGTTAGGGAGATGAATGGCGGGACGTTACGGCTTCGCTCACCGCGCCTGCGGCTCCGACAGTCTCAGGGATGCCTTGGTAAGGTTTCACTGTGTAGATTCTACTGAAGGTTTTTTCCTGAGTGTTTCTAAACATCTATTATTTATAAACCACTGCTGCTCTGCATGATACTTCTTGGGTAAGTAAGGGAAACATTTCCTGCCCCGAGGAGCTTATGCTGGCTGCTCTGGGTGCCATGACCATGCTTGGGGGCAGGCAGAGGTGTGGGCAGGACAGCTGTCTGTTTGCAGCCCCCGACCCCACTGTGCCCACCTCCCCACGCGGGCCATGCCTGCCCCAGCAGGAAAGAGCCTAAATAAACGGAGGCAGCCACATTCTTCTGGGCTGCTGGCATTTCCATACTGCTTATGCAGAGTCTACATCTGAGATAAGCTGTACCTCTCTGAAACAAGTGCTCAGATAATCTGTATCCTCATGTAATTCACTGCTATGCCTGCTGCCGCAGCTGCTGCTACACAATTTTCTCCCTCCCAAAAACAGCTGTGGATCCAGCAAATTTCTTCGGTGTTGGAGGACAGAAGCAGCGGGTGGGAGGGAGGGAGCCAGGACGCAGAGATAAAGGGGCAGCCAAGGCACTGTGCAGAGAATGGGAGAGAAGAGCAGAGAGGAAGAAGGAGCCACTGTGGGGAGCGCACTGTGTGCACTACCTGACACACATACAACCCACGTGCTGCCTGAATCAAAGCATCTTTTATAAATAACCCCTGGGAAGAAGGTCTCCACAACGACAGCTGAAAAGATCTGAAGCAAAATATACACGGCAAAGGCAATCACCTGAATGTGAGAATTCCCTTTACTTGCTTGGTGATGGGTTATAGATATCCCCAGACTGAACCAGAGAAGCCTCTGGCAGAAGTCTGGAACCTGAGAGTCAGGAATTCATGAGAAACATGGACAGCCTCTGAGGCTGCGGATTCCCAGAGCAGGAGGAAGACAACATCCCCATGGAAGCAGTGTAGGACCATGCCTTTGAGAAAAGCAAAGACACTGAGACAGTGTTAATATTAGTTCTTGAATATTTTTTTATGTGATTTGGGCCCAGTATTTGAGTTAATGTAAAGTCCTTTCTTCTTCTTAAAAAAAGGCAAAATGTGGGAAAGGAGTGGAAACAGATGACTG